TAATACTTGCTTGAGCAAATATCGGCATCTTTTTGATTTGCATAAGCAAATGCGCTATCTCGTATACAGGGGCGCGCTAAGGAACGTTAATAAATTCTATCCTTGAGGAGACCGTTACAGGCGGACCGATCACCATCCTTGGCGAAAAGACTTTTTTCCTGTCTTTCGCCTCCATATCGCTACCTGACTTTATGGGATAAGAAAACCGCTTGTTTCAGACATTCTAATGTCCCTCGTTTCCTGCGGTTGTTTAGTTCGTCTGGAATTATGTGCGGTCAGCCGCTTAATCACCTTGTCATATTGTCGCTTGCAATTCCAATCACGTCACGGTACAATGTCCTGCGTGATCTATAATATATCCTTGGACAAGCTTCTCTCGAATAAAAGAAAGAATGTGCGAATGAGCCTTTCTAATGTCTTCATAGCTTTATATAGTATTAATAATGAGTTATTCCAACAATGCAATTTTATGCTTATCTTGAAAATGTTAAGGATGTTTTGTATGTACAATCCCAGCTAAATAAAAAATAGCTAAAAATCAATATTGACGAATATCCATTTTTGGTGTATTTTGAGTAAGAAATTGTGTGGAATATCACAATTTGATCTTAACAGTCCAGAGATATATTTTTTAATATTTATTGCGTTTTTGACTGAAATATTCCGAATTTTGTTAATCGAAATGATTAACTTTTGGCAGAGAATTTCGCCTTGTGACAGATACATGGCTAACTTCATTAAATTATATTTAATATCTTTTTAATCAGTTAGTACTTATACAGGGTGACCCATTTTAACTTAGGCAGCCAAATAACTCGAAAAATAAGCACACTACGAAAAAATGGTTACAATCAAAATTTCGTCATTTCGAGGGGGACGTACAATGACGTTAAAATCAGCCCCCCCACCCCTCCCCCTGGGCGGTGAGAGGGGGCAAGTTTGAAATCTTAAATGGAACCCCTTATTTTTCATTGCATATTCTTGTAGCTTATCTCGAGAGCTTTCCAAAACACTATAATTAAGTACCTTTTTATTAAGTACTTTTTGAGTTATAAGGCTTAAAATAATTTCTTAATTTTACATAAACCATAAAATATCTAGTAAACCATTCATTTTTCGATTATCTTACCTTCATACTTTTATGTACAAAATAATGAGAGGAATCAATTGGTGTAAAGAAAACATACAGTTGTTTTTAAGAAAAAATATGGAATTGTTAATTGCAAATTACATATTTTTTCTTAGAAACAACTATGTGTTTTCTTTACACCAATTGATTCCTCTCATTATTTTGTACATAAAAGTATGAAGGTAAGATAATCGAAAAATAAATGGTTTACTAGATATTTTATGGTTTATGTAAAATTAAGAAATTATTTCAAGCCTTATAACTCAAAAAGTACTTAATAAAAAGGTACTTAATTATAGTGTTTTGGAAAACTCTCGAGATAAGCTACAAGAATATGCAATGAAAAATAGGGGGTTCCATTTAAGATTTCAAACTTGCCCCCCCTCACCGCCCAGGGGGAGGGGTGGGGGGGCTGATTTTAACGTCATTGTACGTCCCCCTCGAAATGACGAAATTTTGATTGTAACCATTTTTTCGTAGTGTGCTTATTTTTCGAGTTATTTGGCTGCCTAAGTTAAAATGGGTCACCCTGTATAATATTATTTGATCAAATATTTCCTCTGTATCTAAACTTTTGCAAATTTTCAACAAATTCTGAATATTACTTCCATGTGTTTTTGTCATTTGAATCAAAGTTATACGTTTCCTATAAGAACATATGTTAATTCGGTACAAATTAAAATCCTTATAACTCGTAAACGTTTTAGTGAATCGATTTAAAAATTCTACTGAAGATTCTAAACATATGTAAGGATATTCTGTAGAATTTTCACTAAATTCTCAATATTTTGAAAAGAGGTACAAAACATTCTTAAGCTTGGCGAATAATTTCAAAAGATATAAAATGATTTTGAGTGTATTCGAGCTTGTGTGTATCGAATAATAATACTCATCAGAGAAATATTCATATTAAATACAAAGTACAATAAGTATCTAACAATAAGACGCCTCGCGGAAAAATTCCTTCTTGAAGGAGCGGCGAGTTTGAACTTCGTGTAGCGAGCGAGCATTTGCCTCGCTTCATATATATATATATATATATATATATATATATATATATATATGAAATTTATATTACATTCACGGGAGCGCAACGTGACGCAAGACGCACAATATAAAGCCTCCTTACGCTATTACGCGTTACAACGGTACCGTTCTGCATGAAAGCGCGCGGTTTATCGTAAATGGTCGCGCTTGCCGTTTCGTTACAAGTCCCCTGACCGACGATGAGAAGCAGGCGAAAGGGACGTACATCTCACCATCCATCTCCTCATCTCTCCATCCTCAGCATCCCGCCTGTTACGTGAGAATGCAACGCGCGTACCCACTGACCGGCTTCACGTAACGTTTCGCGGCAGGCACGGATCCGCTCCCGCGTCATTCTGGAAACATAAATCTTCCGACGAAAAATTGGCGTCGCTTAAAAAATGTCGCTTTTATCCTGTCGATCATTTTATCGAGAAAAATTAGCATCGCACATGTAAAGTGTTCGATAATAAATTAATAAAAAAAAATAATAAATTTCAAGAATATAAATATAATTATATAAATAATTAATTATAATTGATATAAATATAATTACATAAATAATTATATTTATATCAGTAATTTGATATCATTTAATATAAATATAATTATATAAATATTTAAATATAATTTAATATAAATAAAAAAATATAAATATTTAATATAAATATAATTATAAAATTAATTAAAAAATATAAATATAAATAATATAAATATAATTATATAAATAATTTGATATAATTTAATATAAATATAAAATTTAATATAAAAATAATTTAATATAAATATAAAATATAGTAGGAGAGTACTTTTTATTATTATCTTGGTGTGTAAAAACATACATGTTAGATTTCTTGGATTTAAATATCTTTATAAAATATGCTCGATGTCTGGTTTACGCATGAAAAATCTGTCATTGTCATTAAAGCCCGAGGGATAGCCTGTGTATCTCGTATATCTGTCGGACTCTCCGCAATGGCCTGCATGCAACGTTTCGCACGTGTCGACGAAATGTGTTCTAATTTTAGCGCCCGAGGTTTGTTACGTAAGGGGTGCCCCTCCTTCTGGTCGTAAAAAAATTTAATTAAACAAAAAAGCCCTGGCGCGCTTTAGGCGAGGGCACGCAAGCGGAGTCGCTTAATTAAGATACCGATCGCCGCCGTTAACTAGTATAAGCGAGAGGCGACCCACGGCCTCGGAAAGTTGCACGCACCGGGTGAAAATATCGCGCGTATGACTTATTGCAGCCGCGCGGTCACCTGGCTCTTCGAAAGAGACGAGATCGCCGATTATGCAAAAGGCGAAAACGGTCACGTGTACGCAAATCGAGGCAATGTCATCGAACTTATATAACGCGTACATATCGCTTTATTTCAATTACACGCGTAACTTTCCACGTGTACGACATATCGACTTTAAGCCTTCACGAATGCGACACAACTTCGCTTTCTATCTCCAGAAATATCGACGACTTCGATACGAATATTTATGGAAAGTTTTACTCGGACGATTGGATTTTTATTACTTTTCATTTCTAAAATACTCGAGCGAAGTACTCAGGATTGGGTTGTCGACTAATAATAGCGATCAGGATAGTCGGGCATAGGGTTGCACGAGATGCCAAGATTAGTCTTGATATTGAAGTTCAAGACAAGATCAAGACAAGATTTTTAATTAAATAGTTATCAAGACAATACTAAGACTAAGATTGTCAAGATTATTAGTCTTGTCAAGATTATTGGTTCTCAAAGAAACTAAAATATTTATATTTGTAAATGAAAAAAATCACTGTATACGAATTTAAAAAAATTTTATTCAATAAAAACATTTATATTGATAAATTTAAAAACATTTAATATTAATACAATATAACATTTTTTATAAATTAGAAATCAAACTCGCAGATTTTAGACATTAAAGAGCATTTCACCCAGGAATTGATGCACATTAGTGCTTTTAAAGATTTACTTTGTAATCTGGTTCTATTTTTTGACATAGTCAGGGTTTCTATTGAGAAAAGTCTTTTTATTGGCACGGACGAGGCAGTTGAACTTAAAATGTCTCGAGCCATTTTTGACAATGTGGAATAAATATGAATCTGATTTTTTTACCACTCCAAAATACTTATATCTGCACATTCCCTTGGAGCCTGTAAATTTTTTATTATTAATTTCTGTTTTCCATGAAACAGTAAATGTTTTTTTATGTAAATAGACGGCATTTATATATCGATTACATAGTAATAATTATAATTAAAATATAATACAATAGTGATAATTATTTCAAATTATATTACAAAAATTATGTTAAATATTATTTCAATAATTTTTTAATATTAGATAAAAAATTGTTAATAAAATCGAGACAAGACAATACAAGACGAGATTTTTGCTACCAATATTCACTCAAGACCAAGACAAGATTAAAATTTTTGAAAATTTTCAATACCAATACAATATTTTTACGAATATTGTCTCGTCTCGGGTCTTGTGCAATCTAGTCGGGCATTGAAGCATAACCAGATCTATCTCCCTAACCAGCGTGACTTCAAACGACGTATTAATGTAGATAACTGATCACCTGGCGACAAAGGGGATCTAATTTGCATCGATCATCGGGTTAATTCGAAGCGGAGGAACTGGATCCTCCTGAACGCGCGGAGAGATTCCGGCGAAAGGCGCGACTCGCGCGGAATTCCTTCTCGCGCGAGGGATGGCCCGTGGATAGGCGCAGGTGAGAGGCCCCCGCGAGAAGAAGAAAGGTAAGAGGTCCCACGATCTCGTGGGATCCCTACCGCGCCGGCCGGTGTCGAGAGGAAGAGCCGAGAGTCAGAGTCGAGTCGAAGGGACCGCGTCGAAGGTGCGTCCGCAGTGCATCCGTTGCTTTTCACGGTGGACGAGCGTAATCGGAGCCCCCGTCTGCCGCGACAAAATGCCAAAAATTACCCTGTCCATTCTGTGTAAGTGTCCGCACGAGCGAGGGAATCTGAATTTTCGAGCTCGCCGCGAAAACCGATCGATTGTGCGCCGATCACACGAGTAGTGATAGTGATTGAAGCGAAATTCTCTTCCTCCCCCGACCCACCCCCTGCCCTTTTGGTTTATTTTGACCGCGTGGTTAGTTTATGGCCGCAGGCGGATAGCACAAGGCAATGTATGTTAATCGAACGCGGGTTTCATCGATCAAGATTGAATAATTTCTCGATGATGACGACGGAAATCGCAGTTTTAAACGTCGGCAACGGCGAGGTAACCAAGTTTTAGATATAGAAACTCGATGATTCGATATCGAGCGACTCACGAACTCGATAAAATTTTGCCGGCGATCATGTGATATGAAAGCATTTTATTCTTGTAACACCCGTATGTATTTTGTATTCATGAAATATGATTTTTATTTGATAGAGGTAATTATTTTAGTTATCAATCGTATATAATAATTTATTAATAACAATTATTTAATAATTTATTAATCCGATAATAATTTATTACTTTATTGATCGGTTATAATGTTGCTTTTTATAACTAAAAATAACTTTTTATAATAATAACTGCATGTTATATTAATGCTATAATTTGCTATTCAACTTTATATTGCATCAAAAAGCGAGAAATTGTTTTTGTGATAGTTTCCGTAAATATATAATTTTAATTATATATTTCAATCAATGGCCAAAATCAAAGATTTTATTTTCGCCCTTATTATATATATTTTTCTTCAGTTTTTTTTTAAATTTTAAATAACGGTATTTATATATACGATCGAATAAATTATCATTCCTACATAAATAAATAAATCAGATATTTGACGTGACCCTTAATTAATAATTTATTAATAACAATTATTTAATAATTTATTAATTTGATAATAATTTATTACTTTATCGATTGGTTATAATGTTGCTTTTTATACCTAAAAATAACTTTTTATAATAATAACTGCATGTCATATTAATGCTATAATTTGCCATTCAACTTTATATTGCATCAAAAAGCGAGAAATTGTTTTTGTGATAATTTCTGTAAATATATAATTTTAATTATATATTTCAATCAATGGCCAAAATCAAAAATTTTATTTTCGCCCTTATTATATATATTTTTCCTCAGTTTTTTTTTAAATTTTAAATAACGGTATTTATATATACGATCGAATAAATTATCATTCCTATAAATAAATATATCAGATATTTGGCGTGACCCTTAATTAATCAGGAGATAAAACTGAAGAACCTATGATATTTATAATAGATTATTTATATTACAAAGATTTTAAGTAATTTTTCTCTTCCTCTATGCGTAATATACTTACATTATATAACGCTCGATCTCTCGAGCTGCTTTGCACGTTCTCGCCGGTAGCAACCTTAATCAATCACCGATGCGCGAATTATAATTAAAGAGACTACTCAGCTACGTTCGCCGCGACGGTCCATTCATGTAAACTCGAGATGACGTTTACGCAATATTGGTGAGCGAACACATCGCCAAGCTAATATGCTATGAGCATAAAGTACGTAGTTTTACGACATAGGCATCCCAAAACCTTGCACATCAGAATTTTTACGCAGTTTTTTGTCGCGATTTCGACAATCCGATATGCACGGATAAACGTGCCGTGTAAATCGTAGTAATTACCGTGAACAATTTTATTACCCGTGAGAGTGAAATATGTCGGCATTTTGATTTAATGCTGTGGAACGTGTAGCTTGTGACACGTGGCAATAATATCACAATATCATTCGCTGACTGTCAAATAAAATTTCTGTATCCAAGAGTTTCTGCAGATTCATTGGTCTCGAATAATTTTAATCGAAAAGTCAGTTGCAATTGAAACATCCCGACTGAAATATCGATATATATATATTTGATTATAACTTTATTTTATACTTTTACTATTGCTTTACTATTACTTTATACTTTTATTTATGTTTCGATGAATTAAAATGCAAATAAGTAACAAAAATAAATTCTTAATAATTAATTTTACTTTTAAGATATTTAAAAAATTATAAAAATTATAAAAATTGAAAAAATTGAAAAAAATTATAAAAATTGAGAAAATTAAATTAATAAAAATTTTATTGAAAAATATAATTTTGTTACGATATATTCTTTATCTGTTCTTTAAACTCGCTCTGTGAAATTACAAATTTAAATATATAAAATTACAAATTTTATATATTTCACAAATGATTAGCAAAGGTTATTAATGATTTGTAAAATCAATTATCAGAATATATAGTTTAAATATTAATTTTTTTATGAAATCCGATTTGTTTTGATGAGAAGGATATTGAAAAAATGTTGTGAAAAGGCACTTTCGTCATCGAAAATTGCTAATTACTCAGCTCTTTTTGCCGCATCTCGATATATTCTCTCACAGAAGGTCGCGCATGCGCCTTTTTCGAGTCATCTGACCGCTAATTGTGCGATGAAAATAATTGGGAAATAATTTACAGACGACTTCTCACAAATCGAGCGATTTGAAACATCAGTAAGCACGTTCCATCACTGGTTTTTGTCTTGTGACCTTTGCGTCTTTTTAATGTCATTGATGACGCTGAAAATGGCAAACACAATAGAAGAGCACGTGTATTCAAGAACATCACTGGATTGTCGGCCTTTCAAAAGATTTTACGTATCACTGACTGTTATAAGTAATAACAACGAAATTATGAACAGTGAATCCTTGATAGCTTTATGACAGGCGTATAATAGTGAGTTCTGCGTTATAACTCGTACAATTATACAGCAAAAATCGTAAATACTTTGACTTCTTTACACATTATTGAAGAAGGAAAAAAAATGATATTACGCAACAATTAAAAAATATTATGCAACAATTAAAAAGCATTTAATATATTAGCATTATATTATATTTGTATAATGTTGCAATATTTTTGAACAAATAATTTTAATAAAGCTTAATCCGAGGGAAAGAACCAAGGAGATAAAATGACACATTTTACAGTCGAGAAAATGTAACTTCACCGTTTTGTCATCGCTGTCCGTTCAAACAGTTAGTAAGAGCCCTCGTATCATATTTGTCGTATTGCATTGCGTAATATTAAATAATGTTATATAATTTTGCAGTCGTATTACGTAACGCGATGACAATTATCTTGAGTTGCGCTCTTTGAGATATATCTACCGCATAAGCATCTTACACGTTGCCTTTTCAGGGGAAATTCGATTTTGCCGAGTTGCGAAGAACACGAAATCACCGCGACTGTGATAATCACATCGTCCGCTGCACTCAGTCATTATAAACGCAGATATGCATTACGAGATAGAATCAATAGTTTGCCGCGAATAATGATTGAGAGAGATTCGTTATTCTCGTGGGAGCCTCTTGGAGATATCAATCGTTCATGGTCAATTTTGAATTGACGGGCTTGTCTAATCGATTGTAGAATACGAATCGAATTTTAGCGTGGCCTCAAAAGTGCAGCCGTGAAGACGATCTTTGATGTCCCGAGCGACCTTTCACGCCACGCTCCTTCGATTACGAAACTCAAATCGAGCGATATTTACATTGATCGGCGCAATCGTGCCTCACCGGCATTATGTATTCTCAAGCAATCAAAACTAACAAGTTGAAAACCAGAAACATCAAGACAACTTTTCTTATTTATTAACAGGAATTCAATTTTAATTTCCTTTTTCTCTCTAAAAAGATTCTTCTAATTTTATTTATTTTATTTTGATTATTTAAATTATTTTCAATAATATTAAATAATATATATTTATATAATGTCACGTCTATATATTATATTTTTTATAGTAGGTAGGAAGCGAAAGTTGCACACATTGATGCCTATACGCGAAATAATTTTTTTATCAATATTTTAAATTCGAATAATCGCGCATAAATCTAAAGATCCGAGACATTTTAATGATACCATTTCGCGCAATCTATAATATTCACTCAACATTCTCTTCCGTGAATGATCTAAGAATACTCTCCATAGGTCTCGTGACGGCGGTCTTGTTTAATACAGTCGAACGAAGTCTTGAATATGACATTCCGCGGAGGAGCTTCCTGTCACGCAGAGCGATTGACGGAACTAGAGGAAAGTACGTCCTACGTTAAACGGCATTTTCCGTACGCTTGATTACGTGGTGAATCGATTAAATTCGCCTTCGCCTTTTGCAGGAAGTACTTCGATCCGAACGAGGACGGAGGATTCGACAGCTACGGATCCGCGGGCGGCGAATATGATCCATACGATTACATGACAGGTGAGCGATTATTTATCATTCTTCATCGATTTCTATCCATGAACTATAGGAACCATCAATCTTACAATTTTGGGATCCTTCGACACGTCTCTCCAAGTATCCTTGGATACTGTAATCTTTGAAAATTATGCTTCTTTGCAGGGTTGGCAAAAATCTTGGTTTTTTTATTTTAAACAAAAAACATTGTTTTTTTGTTTAGGACAATGTTCTTTGTTTTATTTGTGTTTTTAAGTAAAGTAAAAAAAACATGTTTTAAATAAAAAAAGCATGTTTTAAACAAGCAAAAAACATTTAATAGCTTTGATCTGTGTAAATATTTAAATTTTTCGTTAGCGTTAAACTGTAAATAACGTTGCCAAAATTGACAACGCTATTAAAAATATAAATAATAAAATAAAAATGATAAGATGGGTATTATTTTAGCAGAATATTTATTTTTGGATATTAAATAACAATCAATACAATAAAGATTACTTAGAAGATATTGACTGACTTTACATTTTACATTTATCATTTTAAATTAATAGTACATAACTAATAGCAGGTCGGTAGTTCTAAAAAAAAGTTCTAGTTAATAATATTTAATATATAATACTTTGGTTCCTTTCCTATTCTTATTAAGTAGCCTCATGCTTAACTCTCAATATAAATTCTAAATAAAAGAAAAATAATTCTAAATAAAAGAAAAAACCTTAATTCTTCTTTTTAAAAGAAGAACTTTTTTTTAGAACTACTGACCTGCTAAGTTATGTACTATTAATTTAAAATGCTAAAATGTAAAATGTAAAGTCAGTCAATATTTTCTAAGTAATCTTTATTATATTGATTGTTATTTAATATCCAAAAATAAATATTCTGCTAAAATAATATCCATCTTATCATTTTTATTTTATTATTTATATTTTTATATCTATATGTTACATAAATATAGATGAGAAACTAAAAACACTAAAACAAAAACTTTTTTGCAACATACACATCTATTAGTTTTTGTTTGTTTTTAATTTTTTTTACAATTTCTTTTCCAAATAATCATATATTTTATTTGCAATATTTTAAATGGTTCTAAACAATAGTTAAAACAGTTTTAAACAAGTTTTAATCAAACAGTTTTAAACACATTGTTTAAAATATTCCAACCTTGCTTTTTTGATCTTTCATTCTCCCCTGTCTTTATGGCTCTCCTTTAATAGACAATGAAATTTCGCAGTTAGGATCAAGACGTGGATCCTGCATTGTTCACGTGCATTTCGTAATTATTTTCTTTGCACATTATATACATATTCGTGAGGCGTAGGATAGTTATCTTTAAACTAAACCTACGCGTAATGATGAAAGTCGATGCTGATGCATCTTCGATAATTACAGGATGCTTCTTGATGACATAATTTTATGGAAAGTATGGAGTTGGAACTTCACTTTATTATAACTGTGATTTTTTTTAAGCTTTATTTTTTACTTTCGTCAAACTCCTCTCATTATATATGTTTAGACAACGCTGCGAACATCTTTTTAACCGCAATCATAAATATAGTTACATGTGTGAATAAGTATTAATCGTTCACGAAGCGAGTGGATTATTCATGGGAAAGGCGGAGTATAATATTTATATGAAAGGTGAGAGTCGAATAGGTCATGTAAAATCTTGCTGATTATATGGGTACAAGTTACAAGACATTATCTGTCCAACCACGGGCAAAGATTTAAATATCACAGACGCGATCATCACGGCCTATTTTCTACGACCTTGGTCAATAATTGACGATCGATGGAACTCGGTATCTACTTGTTGCTTAATGACATCTCTTTTTCTCTCCTTTTTAACACGTGTGAACAATTATATACTTAGTTATCGCCATTCAAATAGAAATGTCACTGTAATTATCAATCTTCTTGTATTACTTAATGATAAATGTGTGCTGGTTGTAAGTTAAAGATATTTAATTTTTTGCAATCTTTACGGATGTATTTTTTTGTAAATTTATAAATTAATAAATTAATACATTTTTAAATTTTTAAATTTTTAAATTTATAAATTTATAAATTAATAAATTTATAAATTTATAATTTTCGAAATATTCATATGTTATAAAAAATTATGTAAACTTTTAATTATAACTTATAAAGAAACAGTAATTTCTCATGAATTCTTCAGACAGCTTGTCAGATTAAAAATAGTTTATTTATAGATGGGCAATTTCACTTTTACTATCTGAGGAGATGAATCTGCTTGTATTTTTCAGATCTGTCTGACATCAGAAAAAATGTGCCGGGCGAGCCAGGCGTCGACTATCCCGCCTACACGACATTACCTCAGACAGGATTTACGTGCGAAGGACGCTCACGTGGTAAATACACGAATAAATTATATCGCATGCCGCCTCATCACGTGCCATTTTTTATTATTACGCGTAATTATACATATGCATGAAATTGTTGTTTCTACTTTCTTTCTCTAAAATTCAGGCAAATCTAAAAATTCTAAGTTCGTATTATATAAGATCGAAAATTTGAAATGATCTTTTTATCAATTTATCTATTATTTATCTTATATTTTATCTTTTTATTCAATATTAAGTTCAAAAAAATTGATCCGATATTTTTATTTTGTCTGGTTATAACATTTCTAATTGCGAATACAAATCATCAGAAACATTATCTTGCGCGAGGAAGCGATTAGATTCGCTATGTAAACGATAATAAGATATAATAAGACGGGCAAGATTTCACTAACTGTTAATAAAAAATGCGATCGATTTCTTTTTCAATAAAAGTGTGTCAATATGTGCTTTGGATTTGGAAATTTAGAGATCATTCGATTAGAAGGTTTATTGACTTAAATATCGATAAAATGCGATAAGATAATGCATAATGTTAGAGATTATTAGAAGGTTTATTAACTTAAATATCGATAAAATGCGATAAAATAATGCATAATGTGATGATTTTAAATATGACCATTTTCTTAATTTATTAAAATTATGTATGAAAGCAAAGCTTTTACTTTTCCTTGCTTGATTTTATAATCTATTATTCTTCTATTATTCTTCTTCTATTATTCTATTCTTCTATTATTCTTCTTCTATTATTTATGTATTAAACTTTGTTACATTAACTTTGTATTAAAAACTGTTTGTTATAAATTATATATATAAATAGATTAAAATATCGTGAGGTTTTATCAAATTAATGTAATTCTGTCCTGACTAATAATTATATATCTGAATTTCGTTTTCTAATGTAAGAATCACTCAGAATTAAACTTGTTATTACCGATTTCTCAATAAATCAAGCAGATGCGCCGAAGAATTATTATCGTTACCGTTATTGTCATCGTCGTTAATGACACACAACGAAAATTTAATTCGATTTAATTTTCCATGCTATTGTTGTGTTACTCTAACTCAGTGCCTTGCCTATGGCAACCGCAGACATTAGATAATCTAAGAGAAAGATGAAGTCACAAAACAACATTGCACACTGATGACACTATGTAAAATTACATAAGTGCTAATCTCTGCTAATTATATAAGTGTATTTGTGTCATAACGATAAATACATAAAAAAATTTCTAATTTTTATCAATATTTATTTCTTTATCTTATCACATTGTTTAATTATTATTTTTAATTATCATAATTTTACTATTTCCAAATTACTTCCGGCATTAAAAAGAAATAGGTTAAATATTTTTATATCTTATTTTAAGAATGTGGATATTAATTTTATCATGATACAAAAATTAAAATTATAATTAATTTTTATTAATTATTATATATTTATTATATAATAATAATTATATATTATATATAATTATATATAATAATAATTATATATAATATATAATTATATATAATAATAATTATATATAATATATAATTATTATATATTATATATTTTTATTAATTATTATATATATATATATTTTTTTTATTTATTATTATTTTTATTAATTATTATAATTTTTATTAATTAATTAATTAATTAATATTTTTAATTGTTCTCCAATTTCATTATTTCATTATTCCAGTGTTTTTAAGAATTTATATTGGAAATAAAAAATTATGAACATACACATTTTTTTCTAAAGAATTCGAAGAAAAATGAAATCATAAAAAATTCGTTTATTCCATTCTTTTGTCCAACAGGTTATTACGCGGACGAAGCGGCCGGCTGTCAGGTTTTTCACGTGTGCCATGATGTGTTGGTATCCTCCTTCCTGTGCCCGATCGGTTCCACTTTCAGCCAAAAGCTATTGACCTGCGACTGGTGGACCAAGGTCGACTGTTCCGCCAGCAACAGATACCTCGAAAGAAATCGCGACAGTTACCAGATTGACGACGACGAGATGATCCGCAAAGCGTACGCAATGATTAGCTTGCAGTCCTCTGCGGAAGAAGTCACCAAGGACGGTCTGGTGGATCCCGATAGCGGTGCCAGGATCGTTGATTACTCCTCGCTCAGTGGCAGAATTATAATGGACTTTTTGCCCGGGGGACTCCACAGGATCGCGAATTACGCCGCTGTCGACGCGACGAAAAACGATTTGCCGACTGGATTCGAGGATTATCCTCAGCAGGACGAGCGACGAATCTTCAATTACGATCACCAGCAGCAGAAGAACACAAATCCGGCGTATCATCAAGGCAAACTACACTTTGAAAACAAGGATCGATCGCCTTACCATGCTTCCCTGATTATTCGACACGATTATCAGGATCGAGTCGGCCACAACGAATTTCAGGACGACTATCGCAAATCCGATAACAGATTCGCCAATCGTTTACAAACGTCCTACGCGCCCACAGTTCCCACTGTTACTACGACCACTCGGAGATTCTATTCGCCTACGGTGCCGACGACCTATCGACCTTCCACATTAGCATACAACAAGCTAGATTTGATGGTGGACAATTCCGATCATCTTTATGCGCGTAGCGTGACTCCTCCCTCGATTACTCGTCAAAATAAAGACGAGAGAGGCTCTGATTTGAGAGAAAGAGAAATGGGATTCAAAGCTCCAACAAGATCAGAAAGTGGCTCGTTATCGAAAACGGATGTGGACGAAAAGAATACCAGCTTTGAAACTGACCAAATGCATTTCAACTTTGAGGAAAAGTCGGAAACGAATTTTCGGACCAACGTGACTGATGCGATTGATGAAGATGTGCAGATATTCAGACAGCAAAATGATAAACCGATCATCAAACCCGATAGCGAGGATAGCTTGGAAGACATTGAAGCGAGAGATAGCATCGGAATCGCTCAAACGTTGAATAATCCACTCGGTAGGGTTATTATACAGAATCAAAATCCTGTAAAGACCGAGCGAGCAAGTCTGACGACTTCTATTCTACCGCAAACAATTCTAAATCATTCTTCGGGATCGTACGAGAAAGAAGAAGACTTGAACTCGCAGATCCCGAAGAAGTCGGATATTTTCAATGAGACGAGCTATGATCAATCAGACGAAAATATCACGAGTTCAACGATGAAGAATTTCGAGGAGACGACGTTCATGAGAAACTTTGGCGACAAGACGACTCCGTTGGTGAGAAACCGGCAACAAAATATTGAGGTTGCATCAACCATTTCGGCAACTGCAAAACCTACGATAAGTACGACTAGAAGAAGCGTTGACGAGATTCATGATGCTATCATTCATCCTTCATCTAATGACAGTCGCACATCCGTAGACCAAAACACATCATCAGCTAGTTCGAGTCCCAAGGACAATTCCTTATCCAGGTTAAACTTTGGTTTCGAGGTTCCTCAACCAGCGCAATTTTTGAAACCTCCAGCGGAAAGCTTCCTCATTAACATTCCTGAAGAGACGCATTATATCGACGAGAGTTCTTCTTGGAATCCTGGGTCGACAAACACCGAGATTCCACAATTTTCTGACACATCTATTGCGAACAATCAGGATCAATTGCCGATATTCAAAGTTGAGCAGGTCGATTACACCGACGATTTGTCGGAGACACCTAATTTAGGGATTCATCTAACTGTTCAACCTATCTCTAAAATATCCACTTCCATTCCGTGGCTCGTTGACGTTCCCGTGACCGACATTGTTCCACCGATCGTTGATTACAATGATGGTTTCGGTGATTTTGTCCCACCAAACGAACATTCATATGCGACACAATTTGATAGCACGGAGGACTCGGAAAAGACGGAAAATTCCTCGGCAACTCCGAAGAAGAATATCAGCGAGGCAGAAACTTTAACACAGTATAACACAGAATTCCAGTTTACCATCAGGGATGCTGTCAAGGCTCAACTGGGCTCGAGAACGAATTCCAAAGCTGTTGCTTCCGAAGTTGCAGTTTCCACGCCAAGTGTAGAGGCGAAAACGATCTCGATTGGTACAAAAGCAACCCGGAGGACTTCAGAACGTTTGAGCTTTTCGAGTACCAACATGCCAGAAAATTCGGCGACACTTATTCCCGAATCTTTGACTTCTACCGCGCAATCTCCGATCAGTAATAATGATTATGCCGATGTAGAGAAATCAAATCTGGAGATTAACGTTTCCGAAGAGGAAACAAAGGAGAACGTGACAGGGAGTAATCTATCGCGCTCGATCCATCTAGAGTCTTTGAAGCAGATCGAAGAGACGATTGATAAACATAATTCTCCGTACGAGGTATCTATCTCAATCAAGAAGGACGAAGATTTTGAAAACGACCTCTGATGATTTTATCAGTCGATTGATCTCACAGCACGAACAATCGACTTCTGTTCCAAGAGATGAGCTAAGTGACTTCGAGATCATCAGATCGATTCAACCGGAAGAGGGTCGTTAACATTCCGAAGCTTCACGATGTTAATCGTGCGTCTTTGAACAATAAAGATGATAATGTTCCCGTTATTGTCGACGATGCAACTGGTCAATTCAAGCAATCGAATTCAAATGTGAGTATGTTGAATCTCCTCCAGTTGATGGCTGAATTGTTAAAACTGGATCGGTTGCCGCGACCATTCTCGGCAAAAGATCTACGAAGCACCGAGCTCAGGAATTCGTTTAACCTAGACCTCGATGAACAACCAGCTACGACGAGTCCGCTATTAATTCCTTCGCAAAGAACGCCGTTCAAAAGCGCAAAGTCCAAGGCATCTGCCTTCGATACGTTCAAAACACCCATCAATATTGCCAAAGCAAAGACATCGCTGAATCTGGACCTTAATGAGCCATCATTCATTACGACAAGTCCACTGGAAACTGGAATACCAATCGAAAATGCAGATTCCCAAATATTTTTTTCTGAAGACACTTTGAAAACGTCTATTGACGCCGCTATTAAACCACCTTCTGATGTCTCCTCCGGAATATATTCTAATAATGCAACAAAATTGAAGACGAATCAGTCGAAAATAGAAAACCAGACTGCTCGACCTCTTCAGAAGGAGAAAATCCTAGAACAACTGACGGTAAACTTTGGGCAACCTCGGTACCGTGGAAATTCGATCCGGGGACCACTCGTCTTCGATTTGCCACAAGTGCAAAGAAGCTTGGACTTTGAGACTGGTTTGCCTATAGAAGAGAGCAAGCAACTAATCAGCGAAGCTGAAGAAAAAAGTTTAGCATCCTCTACAACAGAAGTGACGACGACGACGAAGAAATCGACTACGACAACGGAATCCGTGAGAACCATCGTCAAGACCGAGTTTGTTCCTTCTCTTGGTTTCTCTCTTGATACCAGTGAAGGTCGCGAGGAGTACGTTCAGGCAGTTCTTGGAGGATTGATCGACGAGCGCGCCAATAAAGGCAGCAAGGATGAATCCGGCAGTGAAAAATTAACGAACGAAACTCCGAAAAATGAAACTTTGAGTCCCGAACAGAAAGACATTTAAAAAATATCTCAAGAATATGAATGATTAGGAATAATTGTATCTCTCTTGGCTGATCAGTTTTGTCAATATTAATTATAACATTATTAGTTTTTTACCTTGCATAAAATTACAATTAAGAAAAAATAATTAAAGATTCAAATTAATTGAAAAAAAATGAACTCAGTTGATGTCTGTATTATTTAAAGAATGACATAACGACATTTTTCAATATATTAATTGATATATAAAATAAAAGTGAACTTGATTTGATATCACAGCTAAACAATGGGTCGAAAATTGATAAATTATTAAAATAAATGATTAGTAAATATGCACACGTCTAAAGTCACATTAATTTATAATCCGTATTTTTAACCTCAAGATTAGATTTATTTAACGGTGAAATATGATAAAAGAAATGGTATAATGATCCCTATAGCGTGTAATTATTTTTTTACGCCCAAATATATATTTTCTAATGTTAACATATAATTAAGACACTATAATAATTGTAAAATAGATTTTATTATTGACTTAATCGTGATATAATAGGCTTCGACGAATATGTTAATAACGTAATGCTCATGTATAGAGGAGAAGGATAGTATGTATATGTTTAACAATGTGTGCATTTGATATGTATGCAAGAGACATTCGTAGTGTTATGAATATTTTTTGTATATCTTTATTTAATCCAGAAAATGCCACATTATTTTTAAATATATCTTTCTCTATCTCGTTATATAAATTTCATTGTGTAATCAATAAATACTCGTTTACCCTATATGTCCTATTTTATCGAGAAAACGTCTCACCATGACGACGGCGTCAAACTTACTCACTATCCGATATTTCTCGAAGATGAGCGTGTATCGTCGAGAAGTATTGCATTCCGTAAAATAATTATTTACAGTGACAAAGTTTCTATCTTTAGGATTGTATAAATAAAATAATATATTGATCTTTTTATAAAAGATAAACTTTAAGAAAGTAAAATGTGAAATATTACACATATAGAATACAGAGGGAATAAATTGTATGAAGTACGATCCTCTACATATCTTATTTTAAAGTGAAAGGTAAAAGGTTATTCACTTTACATGATAAATTTTATTTTTTAGAAAGAGAATTAATTGCTTAAAAGAATTTATTAAAAATAATATAATTTATTAAAAATAATATAATTTAACTTATTAAAAATAATATTAGAGAAATATAAAAATTTTAGAATTCATTGATAATATGGAGAGGGGTGATAAAAAAGATGAAAAAAAAGAAAATGAAGAGAAAAATTCAGCCGACAACCAGGATAAATCATCCATCGCATACATGGATTATCGGTAGGTACTAATTAATACTAATTAATACAGAAAAAAAGGACATTTTTGTTTTGAAAATATATTTAGTTTTAACGAGAAAATCTTGAAATGAGATTATATTGCGCTAATTAAAGAAAAATATATTCTTATGATTTAAGATTTAATTTTCTTGAATGGAAAAGAAACAATGTTAGCTAGAAAATAACATTTTTAAATCAAAGATTATAATTTTCTTAAAGCAGAATTAAATAATTATATATTCTTGAGGTGACAATTACAATATTAAAATAAGACTATAATATTGATGAAATTTAAAATTATTAAATTCCTCTAAGAAGATTATAAATTGTTGCGTATATACGAAACAATGAACGCATTAGTTTAATAAATTTTGACTTGACACTTATTTTTTTTCTGTGTAGTGATATAATTAATATCCTTTTTATTATCATGATTATATGAAATTTGCCTTTTTCATGAAATTTATTAAATGACGTTATTTGATTTAATTAGAATAAGATGGATTCGCGACAGAGTATTGAAGTTTCTCGGGCTGACCGATCAGGAACATCTTTTCGACAATCTTATAAATGTAATTAATTTTTCTTGATAAATAGTTTAAAGATTAGTCGAGATTATATATATAATTATCTTTGATTATTAGGCGAATAACCGATACTTCGAAGACAAGCTACTTAACTTTCTTATATTAGATTTGTATGGAGTGACGGATCTGGAGAAAAAACTGATTTTCTTCTACAAAACTTACGTCAGTGAAGTATTTCAGGAGGAGGTCTCAGTGTGGGAGGAAAGTAAGCTTTAAACGCGCTTTTATAGCGAGGCTAGGCTTTTAAAAGGGTGTGTCAAGTCTATTGAATCCACTCTTTCGATCATAAATTTTCTTATCAATCTCCTGAATCTGAGACATCCACTTGCAGTATAACTATATTTAGCAGTCAGTAGGAAGTGTTATGATACAAAACATGTAATATAATTCCGATATATGACGATTGTGACTTTAGGTCAGCGTGCAAAAATAACAGCATTGACAGCATTTACGTCAAAGAGCAGAAGGTTAACAAAAAGTGCTCCTGGTAAAAATTTCGGGATTTTTAACATTGCGTAGCATCTCTTTAGAATTGAACATTACGTCTCTCGTAGCCGCACAATTTTTGTATTATATTTAATATTGTATTAATCTATCTTTGTATACAGGGTGACCCATTTTAACTTAGGCAGCCAAATAACTCGAAAAATAAGCACACTACGAAAAAATGGTTAGAATCAAAATTTCGTCATTTCGAGGGGGACGTACAATGACGTTAAAATCAGCCCCCCCATCCCTCCCCCTGGGCGGTGAGGGGGGCAAGTTTGAAATCTTAAATGGAACCCCCTATTTTTCATTGCATATTCTTGTAGCTTATCTCGAGAGCTTTCCAAAACACTATAATTAAGTACCTTTTTATTAAGTACTTTTTGAGTTATAAGGCTTGAAATAATTTCTTAATTTTACATAAACCATAAAATATCTAGTAAACCATTCATTTTTCGATTATCTTACCTTCATACTTTTATGTACAAAATAATGAGAGGAATCAATTGGTGTAAAGAAAACACATAGTTGTTTCTAAGAAAAAATATGTAATTTGCAATTAACAATTCCATATTTTTTCTTAAAAACAACTGTATGTTTTCTTTACACCAATTGATTCCTCTCATTATTTTGTACATAAAAGTATGAAGGTAAGATAATCGAAAAATGAATGGTTTACTAGATATTTTATGGTTTATGTAAAATTAAGAAATTATTTCAAGCCTTATAACTCAAAAAGTACTTAATAAAAAGGTACTTAATTATAGTGTTTTGGAAAGCTCTCGAGATAAGCTACAAGAATATGCAATGAAAAATAGGGGGTTCCATTTAAGATTTCAAATTTGCCCCCCCTCACCGCCCAGGGGGAGGGGTGGGGGGGCTGATTTTAACGTCATTGTACGTCCTCCTCGAAATGACGAAATTTTGATTCTAACCATTTTTTCGTAGTGTGCTTATTTTTCGAGTTATTTGGCTGCCTAAGTTAAAATGGGTCACCCTGTATAAATTTAATCATACAAAATATCTAGCAGTAGAGTGATCAACATAGAAAGTTTTAGGTAATAATAGAACTCTGCACTTGAAAATTACATATTATTTTTATATACGAATGCCTCTTGTTGCAACATATATAAAAAAGCATGCATTTATTTCCTCTTAAATTAATTTCCATCTCTCTTGTCTTTTCTTTCTTTTTGTAGGCATTTTAAAGTAAAAACAATCTTGGAATTGACATATTGTTTGATGAATATTTTAATCGGGGGAAAAAAAATCAGTTTGTTTGACGATATTTTTTGATAATGTTAGGAAAAGTGGATGATGACAAGAAAAAAAAGGATAAGAAGTTTGCGAGAAAAGTTAAAAAAGTCAAAGCCTTGACCGGCAAAGTGAGTCCGGTTACTAGTCGCATGGAAATGAGCACTAGTACTTTGCATACTCCTAGTATACCAGAATCCAGCGAGGAGGAAGAAGAAGATGAAAACGAAGGAGAGCAGAACGGCAGCCGTGATCTTTCTGCTTCTTCTAGAAAAAAGGGAGAGCCGAAAAGTGCTCCTACTGGTAAGTTATATGTTACGTATCTGTAAATATAAATTAACATAAAGTAAATAAAGTAATAATATAAATTTACTTGAAAAAATATTAGTAATGATAATAATTTATATTTCCAGATAGCCCCGCATTTGCACCACCGCCTGGAGAAGAAGATAAATACATTCTAACTAAGGTTGATTTATTAAGCGAAGATTTATTAAATAATGAATTTCTTTGCATAATTCATATCATAGTCAATTAATTTAATTTGAATAAAAAAATAAGTTAGATTCTTCTTGCCAAAAATTCCTCAATGATTGATTAATTTTAACTTGAATTAATTTCAAAATCGAGCAATCTTAGTTTTCTCGTTTCTTCTTAGCTTTAAAAAGAGACGCGCAATTAATCAAATGATGAAGAAATGATTAAAAAATATGATTAAAAAAAAAAAAGAAATTGTTGTTGAATGAAATTAATTATAAGAGAATATTATTTATGACAATTGCAGAAATTGGTGGAGAAAGTTTGTCAGGTACCAGTGCTTCACATGATATGCGGCCAAATAGACGGCAACAGAACTGATCTGCAGGACATCACGTTCTTCTACTTCATGCGCACCAGTGATGAGGGCATACCTTCTTTCGATACCTACGAAGAGTGCCTCAATGAGATCACGAATTACGTGGTGGTCGGCTCGCTCAACAGCAGATTCCTGGCTTCCTTGAATAAAATACTGGTTCATGTAAGGATTGCTCAGTCTTTTGTAATTCACAACCTATACATTGTAAACCAAATTGTAGCGTTGCATATTTAAATATCTATTGAAATGTCTATTTTATAAAGGTAAATTTTTTAAAGGTAGATTTTTTAATATATTTTTTATATAATAAAGGTAGATTTTTTAATATATTGTTTGTTTATAAAACTTTAAAAGTTATTTTTGCCTTAATAGAAAACACTACAATTTTTGGATCGTAATATTTTTATGATTAGATTGATTTGTTATTTGTTAATGCATGTGTTAAAGAATATAAGGCTGAGATACACATAGTAATTAAATAATATATGGGAACACTAGGTATTTAAGCCATTGGTGGAAAATCAATTCAGAGGACCGGATTCTTGCGAGCCATTGCAGATTGATGAAAAAAGAAAGAAGGTGGACGTCGAAGCAGTGAGTATTGAAAAAAATCCGCGCTAACGAATATCGAAACTCGAGTACAAAATATTTATCTATTTTAAAAACTATTTATATAGAATCTATATAAAAATGTAACTTAATGCACAATACTATTTTAAATTTTCTTCATACAAATACAATTGTCTTTAAATTTATTTTCTATAATGTATCCTATTTCGAATCAATAGTCAAAATTGATAAACTATTAATAGCTAATAATTTCAATATCTTAATTTTTTTCCGAAGAAACCGATGCTGAAGCGACCATCCGTTTTTATGAGACCATCCATATTAATATCTAAGCAAGATCTGCCCGCGAGAGGAAAGAGGAACGATGAAGAAACAATCTCACAGGATGATAGCTCCAGAGGCAGAAAACTGAAGCCAAGTTTGAGAAGCAAAAGATCCGATTTATCTACATCAGAGTTAAGCAGATCGACCAGTTTAAGGGAAACGAGAAAACAGCCAATAATCGATCAAATCAAGAAAGATATTTTAGATTATCTCGATAATATAATCGAGAGCGCAGAATTGTTAGTATTATTTTAATTAAGAAATTGATAAATATTGCATCTATTATCTATCTTTAAAAGTAAATTTTCTTTTCTATTATAAATAATTTTGTGCTTTTATTGACGCAGGACATTGGAGCATATCGAAGGCGATATTTTGCTGACAATGCCGAAAATTCCAGAGCTCAACGATCCTACAATAACAGATGATATGTTGCTGAAGAATAAGGACATCGTCGAACAAATGGAAGAAATAATTATGTCGTGGGAGAAACATATACAGAAGGTGAATATTTCTTATAATCTCTTTTCGTTTTAATTTTCTTACAATTTTGAATTATTAATATATGATGATCTGAAATGTTGATCAATTAAAAATATAATTAAAAATAACTATAGATTAAGAAAACATTTATTATTGTTAACATAAAAAATAAATATTTTTCTATGAAAGATTCTAAATCAGTTTTTAAAAATTGTCATAAATTGTTATATTAATATATATTTTGTTTTATTATCACATAGATAATGGAGTTATACGTGAGCAAAGCATTTCCGGGAAAAGGACCACTAGCAGAGTACCAACACTGGCAAGATTGCGAGATCGGATTAACAATGTTGGTTGAACAATTGAAAATGCCTTTCGTCAAAAGAATCTTCGATCTTCTGGAACAAATACACTCGCCAATTGCTTCGAGTTTTCAATATTTTCGAACCGAATTATGGAAACACTATGTGGAAGCCAGAGATAATAATAAATTTATTCAAACTCTGATGAGATACTTCAAGGTAACGATCACGAAAAAATTCCATTGTGTTTATAATAATGGAACTGAAATGCTCGGAAATTTTGTAGATGTATTCTTAGATGAATTTTTTGAAAAATATCCAAACATTTCTAGCTTTCGAATTAAAAATCTAAAACTTTCTTACCAATCCAGCTTCAAAAATGAAAATTACTAATCAACAGTCTATATTTAATTTTTAATATTAATAATAACAATAATATTAATATTAATAATAACAATAATATTAATTTTAATAATAACACAGGCCGACAAAATTTGGCCAAACCTCAGATCCAGAAACCAGAATATACTTTTCCGAAGGTTTTCGACGCGCTGAGTTCAAATCCGAGGTCAGAATTTCTCTGGTGACTCCGGTTTTCGAGATATTCTAACCTAAAAGTGCCAAAATCACGGTTTTTCGAGATATTTGAGGTTATGTTACATCGCAAGGTAATTTTTTTTAAAACCATTAATGGGATCCGAAAGAACTACTCTTTCTCTTTAAAAAAACATTTTGATTTGTCCGGATATCTTTTTTTATCTTTGAGAAATTGAATGTTCAAATTAAATAGTTTGACATTTTTGATATTTGGAAATTGGATAGCATCAGATACAATATAATGTATGTACACGAAATATACATTTTTAAAGGATTTTGATGCACGCTGATTCGAAATTTGATATTAGTTTTGCAAATTTAATTTGTCTAAACAATTTGTTTAAACAATTTGTTTAAACAAACTATTGCAAAAATAATATTTTTTGAGAAGTAAATGATTCAATCGGATTCTACGGGAACAAGCTCATCCGGAATAGTAATTCGGTATATTAAAATGAGTTTTGTTACAAACTAATTGATAAACAATCAATCATTTTCCAAATATCGAGAAATAAGTCGAACTACTTAATTTAAACATACCATTTCTCAAAGATAAAAAAAGATATCCGGACAAATCAAAATGTTTTTTAAAGAGGAAGAGTAGTACTTTCGGACCTCATTAATGGTTTTATGAAAAAAAATTACCTTGCGATGTAACATAATCTCTAATATCTCGAAAAACCGTGATTTGAGCACTTTTAGGTTAGAATATCTCGAAAACCGGAGTCACCAGAGAAATTCTGACTTCGGATTTGAATTCAACTTTAGAAAAAATATATTCTGAGTCTAAATTTTGTCGGCCTGTGTAATAGAGAATAGTTTAAAAATTTGAAATTTTTACTCACATCAAGAAATTCAAATGACAAATGTTGAACATTCATTAAAAAAGTAAATTAAATTTTTACTCCAAAAATAGATCGAAGAATATACTCTAAAGAATAGATAAATATTTTAACATATTTATATTAATATTTATTGACTATATACATTTTTATTAAAACCGTAGTTGATTACCGAATCGGATTCGTTCGAATCTATAGCAGAGTGCATACCTTCGTTGATGGAGGGACTGCGAATGCTCTGGGTGTTATCTAGTTATTATTGCCGCGAGGAGAAAATAATGCTGCTGATGGACCGGATATCATGGCAACTCTGCGAAAACGTCAGGCATAATCTGGCTATCGTCTTACTGTTCAAAAAGCCTCTAGAAGAGATCCTAAAACAGACAAGCGCAGCCAGCGCGATGCTGAAACAGTGGAGACAATCATACTTGAGGACCCGATTGGATATCGAACTGTCGGGAAAAGGAAATCGTTGGGAATTCGATCAAAAACGCCTCTTTCAGAATACGAAGTACATTGCTGAAGTGTGCAACGATCTGTACAAAATTGCTGGCGTCCTGCAGGACTTCTACAACATCTTTGGACCCGATCTCAAGTCTATCATAAACGATCCGGCGCAAATCGACGCTGTGGTGAAGCGAGTGGACGCGCTGGTGGTCCCGATCGAGGAGGCTGACTTCGACATCTTCAACGTATTCAACAAGGAGAATTGGGAGGCCATGACCGCATGGTTCTACGAGCAGGTGTCTTATCTGGAGGATCAGGCCAAATTTTACATCGACGAATGCTTTACGGTGCTGATCAACGCTGAGAATGCGCTAGAGATGTTGCTCAAGTTCAAGAGCATAAAGACCCGTGCTGCCATTCAACAGCAACTGCTACGAAAATTCGATATGATTATGCAACAGTTTAGCAAAGAGGTCAACATCGTGGAAAACATATATCATCGCGGCAAACGGCATCCGCCGTTGCTGACGTATCATCCGCCGATGGCGGGAGCAATTTTCTGGGTGAGGCAGCTGTTCCACAGACTGCGTAGGCCGGTGCTGATCTTCCAGGAAGTGCGCGAGCTGAAGCACAACGAATTAAAGCTTCTCGCGTTCAGCCAATACTTCGAACTCGCGAAGCAGCTGAAGGAGTTCGAGAAGGCCAAGTTCAACATGTGGCTTGAGAAGGCGTTACCGATAATAACTACCATCATGAAGAAGAGCGTATTGAGGATGGTTCGCATCGAATGGGATACTGCAGCTACTCTGACCTTCCCGGATGAGCAACAAGCCAAAGATCAACAAGCCAAAGATCTTCAATTAGTGCAATTTATGTCGAAGACGAAGGCCAAAAACATGGGTTCCATTCTATCAACCCCACATGAATCACTAGTAAGACATGACGGCATAATATCGAAAGCTAATGCGGAGATCGAGAGTATTGCAGACTCTAGAATCATCTCTATGGGTCAGCCGGAAGGGAAGATCGATGTCAGAGTATCATCATTGAAAGAAGCAGGCAAAAGCTCCACCGTGTCCTCTGATAAACACGATACTCGTGCGAAGATCACTTGGAAGGAGTTTATGAGCGGCGCTATTCTGCTAGAGTGCCAGCTACGCTTTCAGGTCAACTTCGATTGGGACGTTTTCGAGGTGATTAGAGAGGCGGAATTGATGGAACAGCTAGGCTTCGAGTTGCCCGCGACTATCAGAGACGTCGGCATTCAAAAGACCCGGCTGAGGACGGATCTCGACGCCATCGAGAAGATGATCGGGCAATACAACAATATCCTAAAGACATTAGACAAAGCGGATGTGCAATTGCTGAAGCAAACCTTGCAGGATGTCGAGAAGCACATTCAACCTGGCGTCACGCGATTCAGTTGGAACTCTTTGAGCATCTCGGATTATGCAGCAACCTGTAATAGAATATTGAAGAACTTGGTTTCCACCATCAACCAAGTTGAACAGATAAAAAAGGAGCTCGACAATAGAATCGATTCTGAACTGGAATCATATCATCTGTTCTCTATAAAGAAAGAAATCGCTGAATCAGAGATCCTCTTACCGTGCAAGGTATATCTTATATAAATTTTATTTTCCTGGAAAATTTCTTTCTCTTGTATAGAGGGTGAACCAATAACTCTGTCCACCTGGAATATCTCCGTTATTTTTAGAGATACAAAAATTTTGTACGCATAAAAGTTGTATGATACCAAGAGGGCCGTAATATGCTACTAAATATTTTTTTGTAGGTGGAAGCACTTCAGAGATTTCAAGGTCATCTCCAATTTTTTTAAACGGAACCCCCCATTTTTTATTACCTATTCTTATAGCTTATCTCGAGAGCTTTCCAAAATACTATAATAAAGTATTTCTTCATTGCGTACTTTTCGAATCTTGAAATAATTTCTTAATTTTACATAAACCATAAAATATCTAGTAAAATATTCATTTTTTTATTATTTTACCTTAATACTTTTATATAGAAAATAATGAGAGAAATCAATTGGTTTAAAGAAAAAATAGTTGTTTTTTTAAAAAAAATATATAATTTGCAATTAACAATTTCATATTTTTTCTTAAAAAAACTGTATGGTTTCTTTACACCAATTGATTCCTCTCATTATTTTATACATACAAGCATTAAAGTAAGATAATCGAAAAATTATTAGTAGCATATTACGGTCCTCTTGGTACCGTACAACTTTTATAAGTACAAAATTTTTGTATCTCTAAAAATAACGGAGATATTCCAGGTGGACAGAGTCATTGGTCCACCCTGTATATTTAAATAAATAGAATTATATTTTTTCGGAAACAAAAATTAAATATTTTCTGGATTAATATGGCGAATTTTTTTACAATAATATAGATATATTCAATTGTGCAATAATGAAAAGAAAAATAAATTATGTTATTTGAATATCAAACTCGATATGAAAGACTAAAAAATAAATAATGTGACTTGCAATATCAGAAATAATTGTACTTTATAAGTAACAAATATTTCTTCTGCTTACAAATATTACGTAAATAAAATTACTCGTTGGTTCTAATTTCTAATCTAATTTCTTTTATCTTTGCAGACCTATTTTATGGAAATAAAAAATCGAAGATCCGAACTGGTATCGTTGATATTAAAGGCATACCAGTCAATAAGTCCGATGCTTATAAAACTGGAAAGTTTGGTGCTAGGTACTGCCACCGGTAAAAGCCCGGCCATGCAACTTTTGTATGAAAAGTATGAGAAGAAAATCTTCACTGCTTTTATAATGTATGTAATCTCTCTTATTAATAAGCATAATAAATTCATTACTATTAATAAGTACGTTATTTTATTGAGAAATCTTTTATTTTCTAGGTGCATGGTAAGAAACATGGAGGTTCTGAACAAAATGTTAAACAGAACTAAGCCGATCTTTCAAGTAGATGCGATATTGATAGCGTCCGAGGTAATATTACGCCCGTCACCCGGTGAGATCTACAACATCATCTGTCAGGACGTGCGAGATCTATTGGAAAGATTAAAAGGATTCTCGAGATGGATGAATGGAACTTGCTTGGAATGTGAACCACAGAAAAAGGAATTTTCGGAGGATTTGATTCTTTTCAGTTTCTTCGAGGACGTGATGAGTGTCCGGGTTGAGTAAAGTTTACGAGTTGGAAAATATACTTTACATTAATTTGACAAAATAAATATTTAAGCCAATAATTATAATTATAAATAATATAGTGTTTATTTTTTCAATTTGAAAATAATGAAAAAAATATGCTAAATATTTACAGATAATTAATGAACTCATAAAGATAGTTCAGGACACGGCGTACAGAATTTCGACGGAATGCTGCCGATATTTGTACAGATGGAAGAAATACAGCAATTTATGGTCGTTTGATAAGAATCTCGTTTGTGAGAAATTCGTGGCGACGAAACCCACGCTTGTACAATACGATGAAAAATTCACGTTTTACGAAAGCATTTTGGAGGAACTCGAAGATATGTCATCTTACTTCGACATAAGCAGTGTACGGTAAAGCGGTATCAGCAATTTATGTTGCTATAAAAATGTAACATTTTCATAAAATTACACAGGGGCCTGCGAGGTTTTTCTTTTTAAGATGCAATAGTGATTTCCGACGTAATTTTGTGAGCTGAATTCGAATCTGGCCGCCGAATTTGCGTAGCACGTCACGTTTTTGAGTAATTTGTAATTGAATGGCTCAAAAATCGCTATTTTGGCCAATTTCATGAATTTATTGCGAGGAAACCAAATTTTTTGAAATATTTCTGCCAATGGCATCGTATAATACTCACTTTCGCCTTTCAAATCCACTTTCGATTACCGCCGCACGATTTTTCTTCGCTGAGATATATAAGTATGACGTTGTAAGAAAATTTATATAGACATTAATATGGTAGATCCATGATGTTGAAAGTTGAAAAGACTGACATATCTCAGGTTCGGTTGTCCAAAAAAGTATTGTAAAGAAATATCTAATACAGTTGTTACACATTTTGATAAATTTTTCTAAATTTTATGCCTTTTTATTGTGATTCTATTCGCCATATTGGATGCGCCATTTTTCAAAAGATGACGGAAGGTTTAAAAATGTATATTTTTATCCTAATTTTGATTCGTAGTGAAATAAAGAGGTGGCACGGTTGATTTAGAATGGCTTATTAGATCCCTATGCACGACCAGTCTTATGACTTGTATATCTGAGCGAAAAAAAATCGTGCGGCGGTAATCGAAAGTGGATTCGAAAGATGAAGGTGAGTACTATACGATGCCATTGACAGAAATATTTCAAAAAATTTGGTTTACTCACAATAAATTCATGAAATTGGCCAAAATAGCGATTTTTGGGCTATTCAACTACAAATAACTCAAAAACCTGACGTGCTACGCAAATTCGGCGGCTAGATTCGGATTCAGCGCACAAAATTACGTCAAAAATCACTATTGCATCTTAAAAAGAAATTTTGACCCTCTTTTTGCAGGCCTGTATTATTAATGATAATAGTCCTTTGAAAAATTCATGCTGTAATAATAAATTCTCTTTATTTATACTCTCTTCCTCTTTCAAAATTGATTTTGTATGTAAATTTGGCTTCTTAAATTATTATCTCTATTTTTTCAAAATTTTTTTCAAATTTCTGTTTTAATGTAAACCTTTTTTCTTTTCAAAGGCTCAACTTGACACCGCTCTTATCGAGCATCGAGAGTCAAGCGAAAGAGTGGAAACAGGTTTTAGGGAATTATCTTCTGTCCGATACTGTCCAGGCTATGAATCAGTTAAAAGCTCAGATCGAGATCTTTCGCAGCGAGATCGAGCTGGTGGTTACCGGATTGGATCGTTTCATGTCGATCATGCAAGCGATCACCGACGTGAGAAATATGGCGATCCAAGCTGAAGTGCAATACCTGTCTTATCAGGAATGTTTTCGCACAATGCGCACTCATGCGATTGCGTTCTCTCCATCGGACGAAGCGATGGCGTACGAATTACAACGTAAATGGGAATCCTTGTATCTTGGAGCGTTTTATAGAGCCTCGACCCTGGAAAGCACCATCGAAAAATTTGCCGAAATGATTGAGGATCAAATTCGACAGTTCTTAGGTGAAACTGGGAAATTTGCCGAAGATTTTGAGACGCATGGTCCCGGAAGCACCGGGGATGACCTAGAGCTTGGACTGAAGAAAATGGATGTATGTTAAAAAAATAACATAATTGCATTCCTTTGAAAAACATCTAAAATTCTGAATTCTTGTCTTTTCTCCATTTTTTTCGGGAGGATTGAATAACTTTGATGAGAACAAAATCATAATTGCCAGCCATGGTATTTAGTTTCCTTTCGCTTATTTATAGGAATATGGTAAACTGATCAACAAATACGAAGAAAGACGCTCGAATCTAATAAAGTACGAGACCCTGTTCGATCTGCCGCCTACCGATTATTCAGTTTTTCTGAAAGTCAAGACAGAATACGAGAACATGGAGATGTTATATGATCTCTATAAAAAGCAGAGTAACGCACGAGAGATCTGGGCGAAGACTCTCTGGGTGAACTTGAATCCCCAGCAGCTCATCGAGGGTATGGAACACTTCATGAGAGAGCTCCGACAACTGCCCAAGTCCATCAGAGATATGAACGTCGGCCGTGCCTTGAACGCCAATATGAAAAACTTCAAGAATTCAGTGCCGCTCTTCATCGAGCTGAAGAACGAGGCTATGCGCGAGAGACACTGGCAAGAGCTGATGAAAAGAACCGGACAATATTTCGATATGGACCCGGACAGGTGTGCGGATGATGAATAATTAAGCGATTATTATTATTATACAGGTGCTTTTGAACGATAGAGTGCGATTTTTGTGAAGAATTAATCACGAATATGGATGATTGTTGCATTACTTACACGTGTTGTAGCGATAAAAATAAGAGTGCATTTTGTATATTTTATTATAGTATTTTAAATATTTATTTATGTATGTATTATTTATTTATTACTATATAATGTACAATTTATTGTAATATTTACGAATTTCGTATATATCCGTTATATCCATGTATTTTTTTAATATTTATATATATGTAGTAAAATATGCTAATTTTTAAGATGTATATTGTATGTTAAAATAGGTGCAAGGATATTATTTAATTTTTCTGGTAAAAGTGGACTGATCTATGATGCATATATTATTTCATAATTTTTTTGAACTTTTTATGTGTGTTCATTTTTTTATAGATTCTCTTGACATAGTCGATTAAAATTCATTAACGGTGTAAACTTATTCGTGAGTGCGTTGACGAGTTTAATTAATTTTTAGAAGTATAATTAATAATATATAGAGACACTTTTTAATACAAAAATGACGCAACGAAAATGTTTTACGATAGAGGGGTAAGTTTTTTAAATCACGTTGCATTGTTAATTTGAAAATATGAAAAATACGAATACAATTATTGAATTATTCCAGATTTACCTTAGAAAATATGTTCGCTATGGAGCTAGGAAAGTATCAAGACATCGCTCAAGATATTGTAATGAATGCCGTGAAGGAGCTTGCGATAGAAAGAGGCGTGAAAGAAGTGGGGGAAGTATGGAAGTCTATGGAATTCAATCTCGTGAAACACTATAAAGGTATATCAGTTATTTAGCAAATAAATTATGTTCAATTATTATATATAATATATAAATAAATAAAAAATAATAAATAATGAATAATGAATAATGAATAATGAATAATGAATAATGAATAATGAATAATGAATATTGAATAATGAATAATGAATAATGAATAATGAATAATGAATAATGAATAATGAATAATGAATAATGAATAATGAATAATGAATAATGAAAATAAAATGAATAATGAATAATGAATAATGAATAATGAATAATGAATAATGAATAATGAATAATGAATAATGAATAATGAATAATGAATAATGAATAATGAATAATGAATAATGAATAATGAATAATGAATAATGAATAATGAATAATGAATAATGAATAATGAATAATGAATAATGAATAATGAATAATGAATAGAATAATGAATAATGAATAATGAATAATGAATAATGAATAATGAATAATGAATAATGAATAATGAATAATGAATAATGAATAATGAATAATGAATAATGAATAATGAATAATGAATAATGAATAATGAATAATGAATAATGAATAATGAATAATGAATAATGAATAATGAATAATAATAAATAATAATAAATAATATTAATTATAATTAAATTTTAAAATTAAATATTAATATAAATTAAATAAATAATAAATAATGAATAATGAATAATGAATAATGAATCATGAATCATGAATAATGAATAATAATAAATAATAATAAATAATATTAATTATAATTAAATTTTAAAATTAAATATTAATATAAATTAAATAAATTATTAAATAATAATAAATAATATTATATATAACATAAATTAATAATAAATAAATTATATAATTATATTATCTTATTATAATTATATAAATCAATTACACAGAATTCTGCGATCGTTGATTATATTCAGGTATGGAGGATCGTGGTTTTATTCTTGGCCCACTCGACGAATTGAATCTGGTACTCGAGGACAACATGCTGACCGTGCACAGCATGGCGGCTTCGCAATTTATCGGACCGTTTCTCAACGTCGTTCAGAAATGGGAACACACGATGCACACGATCTCCGAAGTTCTAGAGGTGTGGGTGGAACTGCAGCGAAAGTGGCTATATCTCGAGGGCATCTTCGTGGGCGGCGACATCCGGCTTCAGTTACCGGATGAAACGAAAAGATTTGACGACATTGATCAAGCCTTCAAGAAGATCATGACTGACACGTCGAAGAGACGCAATGTCTTAGAATGTTGCACGATTTATGGTATTTGTGAAATTTACATTCGCGCAAATTAATTATATAGAAGAATTAAATTAAAATAAAATCTCAGCATAGATTTTAAAAAATCAGGTAGATTATGTACTAAATTGTTATATATATATTTATAATTGTTTAGGCCGAAAAGATGAATTCGAAGCCATGATTGCGATCCTCGAGAAGTGCCAAAAATCTCTTACGGAATACCTGCGCAGCAAACGCATTGTATTCCCGAGATTCAACTTTATAAGCGACGATGAACTGCTGAGCATTCTCGGTAACAGTAATCCCACTATCATCCAGGAACATGTTGGAAAGATGTTCGATAATCTCGATAAGTTCAAACTGGTGCCTGACAGCTCAGACAGACTGATGGTGACGGCTCTCATATCTTGCGAGAGGGAAATTATGGAATTTAGGAATCCCGTGACTACAGAACAGAACATTGAAATCTGGATGGGTCTTGCTCTCGAGGAAATGAAGAGATCGAATCGATACTTGACGAAGAAAGCGGTCTACAATTATGGCAAGGTTTATGTTAAATTATTGCACATCTTTAACATATTATATCATTCGGAGAAAATGATTATATTTATATAAAAAAAGTATGTGATAATTAACTGAAAAATCAAAATTTCTTGATAAATCATATTATAATTTTTACGATTTTTTTTTATGAAAACGATAATCGTAAACGCAGGAACGAAGACCGAGAACGGAATGGCTACTTGAATTTCAAGGAATGATGGTTCTCACAGCCAATCAGATATGGTGGACCGCGAAGGTCGAAAATGTTTTCGATAAGATATCCCAGGGGAATAAACGGGCTATGAAGGAGGTAATGTGGAAAATCATAAATAAAATCTTTTTAAACAATTATAAGAATTAATCTAGGCTTATACGAGCAATTTAAACAAATGGATGTTGAAATATAATTTTTATTTATTGAAATCAAAGCGTGATAAATCTAAGATGGAAACATACAAATCTAGAAATAAAAATATAACAAAACATAAAAAAAAATATAAAAAAACGCATTGGGACGTTTCGACAATTACTTTTGTCTCTTCAGCCAATATTAATAAATTTTAACTAAAATTGGACGTTAGATCGAGCTTATAGTTATTTGACGTTACGCATTTTTGTAAAGTGTGTTGGAAGTGTCGGATGGTGTCTTCGGTCGGTCTCCGAATGCAATGATTGTTGTAGAAAAATCTTTTTAGTTCGAATAAATTAATATATTACTTGTGTATAGTATTTACAACAACTCAACGACCAATTAAACGAAGTGGTGACATTAATGGGTAGTGATACGCTCACGAGCAACGATAGAAAGAAGATTGACATGGTTCTAACAATCGACGTGCACATTCGGGACATTATCGAGAACTTTGTTAGGGACAGCATTATAGATCCCACGGAATTTGAATGGGAAAGTCAATTGAGGTAGTACATCTCTTAATAAAGACAGAGAGAGAGAAAGAGAATCTCTTTATAAATATATTAAATAAGACTGACAAATATATTTAATATTAATAAATATATTTATTATTAATAAATATTTGATTAACATCATTTTCTACGCGATGATTTTGTAGTCTAATTATTTTTGCACACATGCAGATTTTACTGGGTTCATGATCTGGATAATGTATGGATGAATCAATGTACAGGCACTTTCGAATACGGTTACGAGTACATGGGCCTTAATGGCAGATTGGTTATTACGCCTCTGACAGACAGGATATATCTCACAATCACGCAAGCTCTTTCGATGCACTTAGGCGGTTCTCCAGCGGGTATGTGAAGCACGTGACACAGTTACAAATTTCCCGAGCATAAATATAATGGCTTTTCATTTATTCTAAATGTAACTAAATTTAGAGTGAAAAAAATAAATAAAGAATTATAATTAAAAATTAAAAAAAGGAATTAAACATTGGATAATTCCTTTTTTTAATTTTTAATTATAATTCTTTATTTATTTTTTTCACTCTAAATTTAATTACATTTAGCACAAAAATTGTGCTAAAATTTTTGAAAATTATCCGATGTTTAATTCCTTTTTTTAATTTTTATTATAAATTATTATTATTAATATTTATTATTAATAATTATAATTCTTTATTTATTTTTTGAAAGTTCAATTTGCATTTAATGTATTTTTTAAATATATAGTTATTTCGTGCCAATAAGGTTATCTTGATTTTTAATTTTAAGGTCCTGCTGGAACCGGCAAGACTGAGACAGTCAAGGATTTAGCGAAAGTCCTGGGTCTCTTATGTGTTGTCACTAATTGTGGAGAAGGGATGGATTTTATTGCGATCGGCAAGACTCTAGGTGGTCTGGCTCAATGCGGGGCATGGGGTTGCTTCGACGAATTCAATCGTATCGATACCTCTGTTCTCTCGGTTATCTCGACCCAGTTGCAAACTATACGTTCGGCATTACAAGTTAAAGCTCAAAGATTTACGGTACACACTCATGAATATTAAAAGCGTAAAATCCCAAGAATAATAGAAACCTAAAACGTAATTATAAAAAAAATTATTTATAAGTTTATACAACCATTTGAAGAAGAAGAACCGTTCGAGGAAGTTCTAGCTGCTTATCTAATATTATAAAATTATTTCCATAATTTTATTATAAAATTATGGAAATAATTTTATAATATTAGAAGTTATATAATTCGCGATATTTTATCTTGATTTTCCTCGAAATTTAATTTAAGTCCATATATTATTTCTCAGTCCATATATTATTTATCAGCTTTTATAAATATATATTTAGAAAATTTAATTATGTCAATTTTTTATTTCTTTATTTTTTAATTATATAAATAATTTCTTAATTATACAATTAATATAATGTATTAATTAATTCTAATATAATTTCTAATATATAATATTTTATATCAAATTAATTCTAAATAATTTCTTCATTAATATAATATAATATATTAATTAATTTTAAATATTAATTACTTATATTATATTAATTACTTGATTATATAATATAAATTCCTGTCGCATTCCTATTATATTTCTATTATAAAACATAACGTTCTCCGAAAGTTCGAAGGCCAAGACATCGTGCTGGACTCGAAAGTGGGAATTTTCATCACCATGAATCCAGGATATGCCGGTCGTACGGAGCTACCGGAATCCGTCAAGGCCTTCTTCAGACCGGTGGTCTGCGTAGTACCGGACAACGAACTGATCTGTCAGATTAAGCTCTTCAGCGCCGGTTTTCTGATGGCGAAGCAGCTCGCCAAGAAAATGACAGTTCTCTATAAGCTCGCGAGCGAGCAGCTGAGCAAACAGACGCACTATGACTTTGGCTTGAGGGCCCTCAAGTCCGTCCTCATCATGGCCGGTCAGCTAAAAAGAATTTCCGATGATTTACCCGAGAACGTTGTCCTGATGAGAGCTCTCAGAGACATGAATTTACCAAAGTTCGTGTACGATGACGTGCCGCTCTTTCTGGATTTGATTAAGGATCTCTTTCCGGATTTGGATTGCCCCAGAGTGCATTATCCAGACTTTAATGAGGCGGTTGAGGCAGTACTGGAAGTGCATGGATACATCGTCTTGCCTGAGCAAGTAAATGCATATATTTATACGTATTTTATTATCGTAAAAATATAATTTTTTATTGCAAACTTTTAAATTAATAAATTAACGGTCGCATTTAGGTTGACAAAGTCATTCAATTATACGAAGTGATGATGACCAGGCATTCAACGATGCTCATTGGCCCTACTGGTGGCGGTAAGACGGTAATAATCGAAACGCTATGCAAGGCACAGACGCGTCTCGGGAAACCCACGAAACTGTACATTCTGAATCCCAAAGTAGGTGAAAATTAATTGTAACGATTATAGAATTAATTTTTGCTGCTCCTTAAATCATTATGTTCTTCAAATTGAAGGCTTGCACCGTCATTGAATTGTACGGAACATTAGAGCCTACGACGCGTGATTGGACGGACGGCCTCTTGAGCAGCATCTTTCGCGAAATCAACCGACCCTTAGATTCTGGCAAGGACGAACGCAAATATATACTCTTCGATGGTGACGTCGATGCATTATGGGTCGAAAACATGAACTCGGTTATGGATGACAACAAGTTGCTGACTCTGGCTAATCAAGAGAGAATCAAAATGCAGAATCATTGCAGTCTGCTCTTCGAGGTAACTTAATGTAGATATTGAATATATGGTGAGAGATAATTTTAATTTGGAAAAATTTATCTAACAATATTATTCGCATAATTATTTTTACGACTATTTTTAAAACAATAGCGTAAATTTTAATGATGATTTAATATTAAGTTAATTTTGAGATAAATTGTTGCGAGAATAATTACATGTTTTATTTTCTATCATAGACATAATTATTTATTTTATATAAATTATATTATATTTTATTTTATTTATATAAATTATATTATATTTTATATAAATTATATTTATTTTATATAAATTATATTTATTTTATATAAATTAATTTTATATAAATTATTTTTATTAAACACATACGATAAATCTAAAAAAATTGTATGAGCTAAATATGTTTATTTGGATAATTATTTGTTTTCTATGCTCAAGGTAGGCGACTTGCAATACGCCTCACCTGCGACAGTGTCGAGAGCAGGTATGGTTTACGTTGACCCGAAGAACCTAAGATATCAGCCATATATGGACAAATGGATACAAGCCAAGAGCAAAGCAGACCAAGATTTTTTTCGCGGAATGTGCGACAAATACGTACACGGTTCGCTCAAGCTCATTATCGAAGGAATGCTAGGCCTTCAGGCAATCGAACCGCTTCGGATGATCATACCACAAACTGACCTCAATATGGTAACCACTAGATTTGCTAATCGACTATTGATTAATCCGTATTTGTAGCTTAAAGGATGAAACTTGTTTTAGAATTCTATTTATTATACATATTCATTTTTTACCGTACGTTACTAATGATGCTTTACGCATTCGGCGTTTGCTTTTTCAAGGTAATTCAACTCTGCTACGTGTTTGATGGCTTGCTGTCATTATTGAAAGACGAATCGGTGGATAAAAAATCCACGGAAGTCCCTCAAGAAAAAGAGGATAGTTCGCTAACGGCAAAAGAAGAACTCCTGGAGGCGATGTACATTCAAGCGTGTTATTGGTCCTTTGGCGCGTCTATTGTCGACGACGCGCGCCTCAAATTCGATGAATACATAAAGAAAATTTCTGGACTTATACTAGTCCAAGATACACCTATCAAGCTGGCAACCACTAGTAAGTTCAGCCAAAATTACGAAACAAAGATAACAAATATCAAGAAAATATGACAATTAATTTAAATTAATTTATTTAAATTAATTATTAAATTTCAATCATTTTTTGTGCACGCATCTTTTATTATTTTGAATTTAGAAAATAAATGTTTATGTCTATGTGTGTGTTACGCTAGGATATATACCCGTATCATTTCCAACTATGTACGATTATGTATTGGATGTGAAGAGGAAAGTTTGGATGGCGTGGAAATGGTTGGTACCGACATATCTCCATGATAGACAAAAATTCTTTACGGATATCCTGGTGCAAACTATCGACACTTTGCGTACTACGTGGTTTGTGGATCTTATGAACAATCTGCAGAGACCGGTATTATTGATCGGAGAAACTGGCACCTCGAAAACGGCCATAATTCATGAGTTTCTGAGAAACTTGCAACCCGACAAATACGTGAGTGAGGAAACAATATTGTAACGATAAATTCAAATTTAATTATTCAAATAAATTATTCAAATAATGATATAACGATATAATATATAATGATATTGATTTAAATAATAATAATATTTAACAATAATATAATAATAATATAATAATAATATAACAATAATCTCATAATTATATAACAATAATATAATAATAATATAATAACAATATAATAATAATATAATAATAATATAATAATAATATAATAATAATAATATAATAATAATAATAATATAATAATATTTTTCAATAAAATATAATATATGTGAATTATAAGATATGTGTCTAGAAAATCTTTTTATATATTATTTATTATTGTATGTAATAATTGACTACATTTTTTACAACCTATGATAATGCCAAGTAGGAGCAGCTCCTACTTAACTTCTCATCGAGAACCACTTCGATGGACGTGCAGAGGAATATCGAATCGGTAGTGGAGAAAAGATCGAGAGAAATATTTGGACCGCCGCCCGGAAAAAAATTAGTCGTCTTCATCGACGACATGAACATGCCAATTGTGGACACTTATGGAACCCAGCAACCCATTGCTTTTCTTAAATTGCTCTTCGAAAGAGGTGGCTTTTACGATCGCGGACGCGATCTGACCTGGAAATATATGAAAGACATTTGTGAGTATAATATCGTTTCTTTGCACAATTTTAAGCCAAGTTTCTCTTCAGTGATTTAATAAAACATAATTTTTTTTATTATTTTATTATATTATTATTTATTATTTTATTATTTTTATTATATTATATATATTATTTATTATTTTAATATTATTATTTATTATTTATTATTTTATAATATTAAAAATTTTATAATTTTTTACCATATGCTACGTTATTAATTATGTAACATTTTAACCATGTTATCAAATCTTCAATTGACATTAAATCTTTTTACGAAATAGATTATTTAGCTGCCATGGGAGAGCCTGGTGGCGGCAGGAACGAAGTCGATCCGCGATTTATCTCGATGTTCTCAGTTTACAATGTGACTTTCCCATCGAGCGAGACTCTCAATTATATTTACACCAGTATCTTGTCCGGTCACCTGCAAACGTTTCCTGAAGAAGTACAATCTATCGCAAACGGACTCGTGCAATTGATGTTGGAACTTTACGAGGTAATTTTGCAACAATTATTTATCATGATCATTATCATTATCATTTATCATGATAAAAAAACAACAACATATAATGCTATTCAGACAGTTAGAAAAGAACTCCTACCAACGCCGTCCAAGTTCCATTATATTTTCAACATGCGTGACCTTTCGAGGATCATGGCTGGTCTGCTTCAGAGTCATTCTAACTTCTATCCTAGCGTAAAACAATTCGTTAGACTCTGGAGGAACGAGATCACCAGAGTTATGTGCGATCGTCTCATTAGCGTCCAAGTAATAAGCCTTTTATTCTCTTTCCATTGATTAAAACTTCACTTGTAAACAGTTTCGCCTTTCTAGGATGAAAGTTTGATCATCGATCAGTTAAAGGAGAAGATACAGAATTATTGGGAATTAGAGCCAGAAGTGATTCAGTATAGTTTACGAGACCCGATGCTTTATGGCGATTTCAGAAACGCTTGCAACGAGGACGAGCCTAGATTTTACGAGGATCTGCTAGACTACGAAGCGGTCTACAGCTTGTTCTTGGAAGTTCGTTCTTTTATTTCAAATTTAATTTAATTGATTTAATTGATTTAATTTAATTTCTTTTTCCCAACTATTTTTCTATATGTATCTGCAGTGTTTGCTGTAGATAATTTCAAAATTATCTAGATAAAGATAAAGATCCGTAAATTTATCTTAGATGATTAAAGATGATTTTGCTTTTACTTAATCTAGATGAAAGATGAGATAATTATTGCGGTAATCTAGATAATTTTGTTTATTTTAGAAGACTATAAATATTTGTAAAAAATGTGACGCAGATTATAAATGGGATATTAACATCATAAACACATATTCTTTCTCTTTTTCTAAAGAATATTTAAATAATAGTAAAAAGGTATATAAATGATATGATAAATATTTATTTATTAATTTATATTTATAATATATTTATAATATATTTATAATATATTTATAATAATATAATAATAATATATTTATTATATACAGGGTGTCCCAAAATTCATAATCAATTTATCAAAGACAGATTCCTGGGATCGTTTGGAAACGATTTTTCCTCAGCGAAAATGTCGATGAAGGCCATTATTTTTTGCATGTTCCCGATTTTTGTCATCATATATCTTTGCAATTAAGTCTTAAATTAAAACTCAACTAAAGTAAACTCTATTTAAAATTAATCGAAGAATGTGGTTTTGTTAATATTTTATTTCTACAAGGCTTAATTTACGAAAAACCCCTTATTTTCAATTACTTATAATTCGAAAATTAGTGCCTCGACATTTTCTTTGAGGAAAAATCGTCTTCGGATGATCCCAGGAATCTATCTTTGGAAGATTGATTATGAGTTTTGGGACACCCTGTATTAATAATAATAATATAAAAAATATATTTTAGACATTTTAGATAGATTTTTAGAAGCTTGCTTTAGATTTTTGGAAAACTTTTTGCATAATGAAAATGTCATCTTAGACAATTTTTAGATAAGATAACATATATTTTTCATCTAATTGTAAGATAAAGATAAAGATACTTTGTATTTCTTCATCTAGTTAAAGATAAAGATGATCCATTTCTTTATCTAGATGATTATCTAGATAATTTTATCTAGATACCAGCAAACACTGTGTATCTGATATAATTCGATTGCAACGTTTATAAAGACAAAATTCTATATTCTTGAAAATCTCGCACCATTCGCAGATTTTCGATGAATATAACGAAAGGACCAGAGCCAAGCTACACATGGTTCTCTTTAACGACGCGCTCGAGCACCTTACCAGAGTGCACCGTGCACTTCGGATGCACCGAGGACACGTGCTTATCGTTGGTACCGGTGGCAGTGGTAAAAAATCCGTGATAAAATTAGCGTCCTTCGCCGCCGGTTATCAGCTCTTCCAGATCGTCCTGAGTCGCGGTTACAACGAGATGTTCTTCCGCGAGGACATGAAGAGTCTGTACAACATGGTCGGCGTGGAGAACAAAAGAGTCGTGTTCATGTTTACGTGCGCTCACATTAAGGACGAGGGCTTCCTCGAGCTGGTGAACAACATGCTGACAAGTTCCGTGCCGGCTCTCTTCAACGACGAAGAGAGGGATGCGATTGTCACTTCCTGCAGAGACGCGGCGGTTATGGCCGGTTTCGACATCGCAAAGTGATTTTAATTTCTTGTTATCTATTCTTGAATCTCCGATTTAATTTTTTTTGAAGAGTATTTATTTAACAATTTATTCCTGATTCCAGAAAGAGCGTCTGGTCGTACTTTGTCAAGACGTGCATCGCGAATCTGCGAATAGCGCTGGCGATGAGCCCATCGGGCGACGCTTTGCGAATACGATGCCGCAATTATCCGGGTTTGATCAACAACACCACCGTGGATTGGATGTCTCCGTGGCCGCAACAGGCCTTGGTTGCCGTGGCGAACGTTCTCCTCAGAGACGTAAGTGACTGCACGAATAAACGAGGGAACATTTAACGAAGTGAGACTCTTTCTTCCAGAATCCGATCGTGCCACAGGAACACAGGGAGGCAATTGTAAATCACATCGTGTATGTACACACATCAGTATTACAATACACGGTAGACTTCGCGACGAAGCTGAGGAGACGAAATTACGTTACGCCGAGACATTTCCTGGATTTCATCAACACTTACCTCAAACTACTGACGGAGAAGAAAAACTTTATAAATTCACACCGCGCGCGTCTTTCCGGAGGTAACTGCTTAATTTTCTTACAAATTATTTCTAATTATATCTATTTTTTTATTAATAACATGTAATATAGAGTGTCTGAAAACTTTTCGCGGTACTGAAGTGTGAAGGTAGATTGGCTCAAATTAAGAAAGAAGGTCCTCTACTGTTTAGCGATATTTGCAATAATTAAAGAAAAATTAATTAAAGAAGATAGGCCAATGCGCGTGGCTAGAAGTGCGCGGCGAAGGCGGTCTCATTGTAACATAATGGCGGCGCGCGGTGAAGCAGTGATTGGGTAGGGGAGGAGCCTTTGCCGCCGCGCATTTCTAGCCACACGCATTGGCTGATCTTCTTTAATTAATTTTTCGTTAATTATTACAAATATCGCCAAACAGTAGAGGACCTTCCTTCTTAATTTGAGCCAATCTACCTTCACACTTCGGGATCGCGAAAAGTTTTCAGACACCCTGTATAACAAGGTTAATGATACTTTAAATCTTTCAAATTCATTTTCAAGAAATTATTTCTTCTCTTAAAATAAAAAAAGACGCGATTTCATATGGAATAGATATTTCTTCCCCAATAAGTATTTCCGTCAGGATTGCAGAAAATCGCAGAGGCTTCCGTGACTCTGATTGAACTGAACAAAATTCTGGCCGTGCAAAGGACCAAAGTGGCCGACCAAACGAAGAACTGTGAGCAGTTGCTCGCGTCCATCGGCGAAAGCACGGATATCGCGATGGAGAAGAAGAACCTGAGCGAGGAGAAAAGGAAAGAAATCGAGGACAAGAAAAAGATGATCACCAAGGAGGAAACAGAGGCCAAGAAGACATTAGCCGAGGCTCAACCGGCTCTCGACGCGGCCAGACTCGCACTGGGCGAACTCGACAAAGCTGATATCACGGAGATCAGGTGACTAGAATCAATTTAAAAAAAAAGGAATTCTTATGAGATATTTAATGATATGAATTGGAAAAGCTTGAAGCGAGAAAGACGCTTAAATAAAAGACTTAAATAAGAGGAACAAAGACAAGCTTGAAATTTGCTAAATAACTGATGATGATAATTCAGATCTTTTGTGACGCCACCCGAACCGGTGCAAATCGTTTCGGAATGCGTCGCGATGCTTTGTGGTGTCAAGGATGTGTCCTGGAAAGGAGCTAAAGGAATGATGAGCGACCCGGGATTCGTGAGGAGCTTGCAGGAAATGAACTGTGATCAAATCACTATAAAACAGCAGCAAGCAGTTCAAACGCACTTGAAGAAGACGGACAAACTAGATCAAATGCAGGTCATCAGCAAAGCAGGATACGGCTTGTACAAATTTGTCCTCGCTGTTTTGGATTATTGCGCCGTTTATAAAGAGGTAGTTATCTAATTTCGTAAGTTCATCTCTTCTTAATTTTCTAAGACTTAGAAATATTAAATTCATACCGATAACAATAAATTCCGATTCACTGTTTCAGGTGAAGCCGAAGATGGATAGAGTCCAAATGCTCGAAACAGAGTCCCAAAAAATTAGACGTGCGTTAGAAAAAGAAGAACGAGAGTTAAAACGATTAGAAAAAACGATCGAGGAGCTGAATGCGAAATACGACATAGCGATGACCGAACGACAGAAACTGCAGGACGAGACAGATCTGCTGCAGCGACGCCTGTTGGCCGCCGATAAGCTTATTTCTGGATTGTCTTCCGAGAACGAACGTTGGCAAAAGGATCTAGTGGGTTTGCACGATGATTTAGAGAAGATTACCGGAAATTGCTTGTTTGGAGCGGCATTCCTCGCCTATAGTGGTCCGTTTTCCTACGAATTCAGGAATGAAATGTACAGCGACTGGAAGAGAAGCATTTTGGAAAAAGACCTACCTCTGTCGATGCCCTTTAAGCTCGAAACCCAACTGAGCGATGACGTTGAAATTAGCACGTAAGAGCATTTAATTGTGAAGTAAATGCATCTATTAATTAAAGGAAATATCATTAATTTCTTGTTATTTGATCGAGTTTTCAGCATATATTAACATATGAATCAAAATAAAAATTTTATAGAAATTTTATAGAAATACAACTAAATTTCTTAATCAACAATAAAAGAGGAAGAATAATTGCTCGCAGATGCAGTTACTTTATTCCATCTAATAAATGTATTCGTATAATTAAAACTTTAGCTAAAGAAAATTGATAAGTCTCTCTAATATTTATGCAACTTGAAGCTGGAACTCGGAAGGTCTTCCACCGGACGAGCTGTCCGTGCAAAATGGCATATTGACCATGAAAGCATCCAGATTTCCGTTTTGCATCGATCCACAGCAACAAGCGCTGAATTGGATCAAGAAGAGAGAGCAGAAGAAGAATCTGAAGATCCTCTCCTTTACAGACACGGATTTCCTGAAGCAAATAGAACTGGCGATCCAATATGGTTTACCAGTACTTGTGCAGGATGTCGACGAGATCGACCCCATCTTGAACAACGTTTTATCAAAAAATATTCAAAGTAAGTCGCACAATTCAAGAGAATCGTAATCGCAATTCGTTGAAATATAGAAATTAATTTGACTTCATTAAATTAATTTGTTGCAGTCGTTGCAGGACGAACTTTTGTCATTCTCGGTGATAAGGAGATAGATTATGATCCAAGATTTCGTGTATATTTGACAACCAGAATGACCAATCCGATGTTGGATGCAGCCGTGTATGCCAAAGCGATTGTTATCAATTATATGGTTACCACAGCAGTGAGTTCAATTTAATTATACCGAATCTGAAAACTTTTCGCAGTCCCGAAGTGTAAAGGTAGATTTGCTCAAATTAAGAAGGAAGGTCCTCTCTCCAATCACTGCTTTAGCACGCGCCGTCATTATGTTACAGTGAGACCGCCTTCCGTCGCCGCCACGCGCATTGGCCAATCTTGTTTAATTAATTTTTCGTTAATTATTGCGAATATCGTAAAACAGTAGAGGACCTTCCTTCTTAATTTGAGCCAATCTACCTTCACACTTCGGGACTGCGAAAAGTTTTCAGACACCCTGTATAATACATAGTTACGTTAATATCAAATTATAAATATAATATATATTTATGTTATAATTATTGTTATATTATAATTATATTATTATATTGCATTTAAAAATAATATATGAATATTTCTATAACTTTTAAAGATTTTGTCGATATATTCCAACATCAAATTTTACACAATAAAGTCTCCTAAGACACGTCTCTTCAGGGCTTGGAAAACCAACTCTTATCAGTTGTCGTGAGAGTCGAAAGGCCGGATATCGAGGAGCAACGGGAGACGTTGATTCTGGAAACGAGCGAGAACAAGAATTTGCTGCAACAATTGGAGGACAGTCTTCTGCGCGAAATCGCCGCTGATCAAGGCAACATGCTGGACAACATCGACCTGATCGAGACTCTGGAGAACATCAAGTCTAGAGCTAACGAGGTGATGACGAAGCTGTTCCTCGCGGAGGTCACCTCGGCTGACATAGACAAACTTCGCGAAGGCTATCGTCCGGTGGCAGAACGAGGAGCTATCCTGTTTTCAGTATTAGCCGATATGGCTACCGTGAACGCCATGTACCAGTATTCTCTGATCAGCTACGTCGAAGTGTTTATCCATTCACTCAAGAGATCGCTGCCGGATCCAGTGCTCGTCAAACGATTGCAGAATATTATTCCGATGTTGACAAAGAACGTGTATGATTACGGTTGTACGAGCATTTTTGAGAGGCACAAATTACTCTTCTCCCTGCAAATTTGCGTGAGAATAGAAAGAAGCGTGGATAACGTGAATCAGAAGCAGTTGGACTTCTTCATCAAAGGTAGCATGGCCTTGGAGAAATCGCCCCAAGTGAATCCCACCAGATGGTTGCCGCAATCGGGCTGGGAAGATGTTCTTACACTGGCGAGCGATTTCCCAGACAAATTCAAGCAGCTGCCAGAAGAATTGCGGGATTGCGAGGACGAATGGAAGCAGGTAGACATTCCAAACAAAGATTATTTAAATTATTTTATTTTATTTTTTATGGCTAGATAATAATAGAAAATAATCATCAGCATGCAAGCAGAATTTTTTATTCAGATTCAAGATTAAAAACAACATATTTTCAAAATTTTAAAAACACAAGAAAATTTGAATAAATATCTTCGAATAATTTGAATTATATTCGATTAATTTGAATTAGATTTGAATAATTTGAATTATATTCGATTAATTTGAATTAGATTTGAATTATTTGAATTATATTCAAATAATTTGAATTATATTCGAATAATTTGAATTGTGCATGAAATACAAATTTTACAATAAATAAAAATCCTCTTGAAATGTGTGATAATTAATCGACTAATCGAAACTCGTTTTAGTGGTATGATTCGGACACGCCAGAATCGGACAAACTCCCATGCGATTATAACACGCGATTGACACCCTTTGAGAAACTGATGCTGATACGCTGCTTCCGCGTAGATCGCGTTTACTGTGGCATCATTAATTATATTATCGATATCATGGGTGAACAGTATATCACACCGCCTCATATGAGTTTCGATATGATTTTCGAGGAGAGTACGCCTACCATGCCTGTAATCTTTCTTTTGAGCCTGGGCTCGGATCCTACTTCGGAGCTGATGAAGCTGGCCGATCGATACGGCTGTGGCGGTGGAAAGTTTAGATATCTCTCGCTTGGTCAAAGTCAAAACAAGGTGGGATAACGCATTTGTAATCAGATATATAAGATTTATTATACATATAATGACTGGATCATAATAAAGCAGGGTTGGCATGTTTTAAACAATGTGTTTAAAACTGTTTGATTAAAACTTGTTTAACGTGTCCGCTGTTTTAAACATTTTTGTTTTAAACTGTTTTAAACTATTGTTTAGAACCGTTTAAAATATCGCAAATAAAATATATGATTATTTGGAAAAGAAATTGTAAAAAAAATTAAAAATAAACAAAAACTAATAAATGTGTATATTGCAAAAAAGTTTTTGTTTTGTATAAGTGTATGTTACAAAAAAGTTTTTGTTTTAGTGTTTTTAGTTTTTTATCTATATTTATGTATATATATATTATCTATATATTATCTATATATATAACATATATATTATCTATATATTATCTATATATATAACATATAGATATAAAAATATAAATATTAAAATAAAAATGATAAGATGGGTATTATTTTAGCAGAATATTTATTTTTGGATATTAAATAACAATCAATATAATAAAGATTACATAGAAAATATTGACTGACTTTACATTTTACATTTTAGCATTTTAAATTAATAGTACATAATTCATAGCAAGTCAGTAGTTCTAAAAAAAAGTTCTTCTTTTAAAAAGAAGAATTAAGGTTTTTTCTTTTATTTAGAATTATTTTTCTTTTATTTATGTTGAGAGTTAAGCATGAGGCTACTTAATAAGAATAGGAAAGGAATCAAAGTATTATATATTAAATATTATTAACTAGAACTTTTTTTTAGAACTACCGACCTGCTATGAGTTATGTACTATTAATTTAAAATGATAAATGTAAAATGTAAAGTCAGTCAAAATCTTCTAAGTAATCTTTATTGTATTGATTGTTATTTAATATCCAAAAATAAATATTCTGCTAAAATAATACCCATCTTATCATTTTTATTTTATTATTTATATTTTTAATAGCGTTGTCAATTTTGGCAACGTTTTACAGTTTAACGCTAGCGAAAAATTTAAATATTTACACAGATCAAAGCTATTAAGTATTTTTTGCTTGTTTAAAACATGCTTTTTTTGTTTGAAACATGTTTTTTTTTACTTTACTTAAAAACACAAATAAAATAAAAAACATTGTTCTAAACAAAAAAACAATGTTTTTTGTTTGAAATAAAAAAAAACAAGTTTTTTGTTAACCCTGTAATAAAGTAACGATAAATGATGAGCATTTAGGATCCATGTTTAATGTCCTGCGTCTTAAAGTTATTTTTGAAAAGTTATTTTATGTAAAAAATACATCTCTTTTATGTAACAGATTTTATATAACAGACCGTCTTTATATAACAGATCGCGATGGAATTGTTGGATGTAGCGATGACGAGAGGTCAGTGGCTGATGCTCCAGAATTGCCACCTACTATTGTCCTTCACAAAAGATCTAGAGAAGGTCGTGGAAAACATAGGAAAGCCTCATCCCGACTTTCGCCTGTGGCTCACCACGGAGCCTATTCCTAATTTTCCAATCGGAATACTGCAACAATCACTGAAAGGTATAATGAAGTATACCTCGTTGTCATGCATGGTAGTCTAGAACAAATTGTTTGCAGTGGTAACGGAACCACCGAGCGGGTTGAAACTAAACTTGCAAAGCACGTATTTCAACATGCGACCACAGACTTTGGAAACTTGTTCCCATTTTCTTTACAAGCACTTAATTTACATTCTAGCCTTCTATCACGCTGTTATCCAGGTGAATTTCAAAAAGTTGATACATTTAATTAATAACGTAATAGAATTTTTATTTAAAAAATACTTAAAAAAACATCGTAGGAGAGAAGAAGATACGGCAAAATTGGGTGGAATATAAAGTATGATTTCAACGAATCAGATTTTAACGTATGCACCACCATTCTGGATGCTTATTTAACAAAAGCACTGACAACAAAGGAGTCTAACGTACCGTGGAACAGCCTCAAGTATTTAATTGGAGAGGTAACTACACTCGATCTAAATCTCCTTTTAAAGATCTTTTTCAATTTCGGCATCTTTTATTATTATTTGAAATATTTTTTAAATAAATTTGCACCTTTAAATAATAAATTTTTGCCTTTCGCGTTTGAAAATAATTTAGATAAAAAATAATTTAGGTAATGTACGGCGGAAGGATAATGGACAGCTATGATCGTCGCGTCTCTTACACTTACATGGACGAATATTTCGGTGATTTTCTGTTCGACGAGTTTCAACCGTTCTACTTTTACAAGGATGCCGTCAGCTATGTGATACCTCCGGAAGGAGATCGCGATGATTATTTGCGATTCATCGAGGAGCTTCCTCTCGTGAACACTCCGGAAGTATTTGGATTGCATCCGAATGCCGAGATCGGATATTTTACGCAAGCGGTCAAAAGAATGTGGAGGCATCTCATTGAACTTCAACCACAAACCGGTGCGAATACTATATCATTTTTCCTTGTCTTATATATTATGTATTTACAGCATTTATAAATTTTAATCATTTATTATTACTTGTATTATTAGAAATATTTTAAAATATTTTATTTAAAGCATTTTAAAATATTTATAATTACTTTTTAATCATTTATTATTACAAATAATAATAACTGATTAAAAAGTAATACTTTAAATAAGATACTTTATTTAAAGTATTTTATTTAAGATATTACTCATGATAATTATTAATTTTACTTTAATGTTATGTGATTCGAATTAATAACGAGTCATATTTTTATCACTTATTATTTTGTGTATAAAAGTTATGCAGGGTGATTCATTTTAATCTTAACAGGCAAATATTTTGAAAAATATCCGAGATACGAAAAAATGTTTCAAACAAAAATTATATTTATACTTTTATGTACAAAATAATGAGAGGAATTAATTGGTGTAAAGAAAACACATAGTTGTTTCGAATAAAAATATGTAATTTGCAATTAACAATTACATATTTTTTTTAAATTAATTATGTGTTTTCTTTACACCAATTAATTCCTCTTATTATTTTCAAGCCTCATAAGTACTTAATGAAATCTAACTTAAAATTTATAAAATAACTTTATGTCGCTAGTCAGATAATCCAAGGATCGTTGAAAAAAATGTGTAGTCGACCAAACTAGCCAGAAATTTGTTTATTAATACAGATCATTAACAGTTTATTAATACAGATTTGATTATTAATACAGAAATCTAACTTAATTATAGTGTTGTAAACCAATTGATTCCTCTCATTATTTTGCACATAAAAGTATTAAGGTGAGATAATCGAAAAATGAATATTTTACAATCTTTTATAGTTTATGTAAAATTAAGAAACGATTTCAAGCCTCATAACTCGGAAAGTACTTAATGAAAACTAACTTAATTATAGTGTTTTGGAAAGCTCTCGAGATAAGCGACAAGAATATGTAATAAAAAATAGAGTTTTATTTAAAAAATTGAGAGTGATCTTCACGTGATCTTCAAGTAACTATTTAAAATCAAATTAATGACATCATTTTATGTCCCTCTTGAAACCATACAACTTTTGTCTGAAACATTTTTTCATATCTTGCATATTTTTCAAAATATTTGCCTGTTGAGATTAAAATGAATTACCCTGTATATTTCATTTATCTTTTAGCAGAAATATCAATTTTTATTTTTATAATTAATGATTGTTCGTAGCTCGCTTGGATAAAAAGTGTAAGTCGCATATTAAAGAGCTCATTACATTTTTCGATAAATCATGACATGTCATGTATTAAATTTTTAGCGATCAGCATCACCGGTGTCAGCAAAGATGAATTCATAGATAACATAGCGAAAGAGATCTCAGCCAAGATGCCCGTACCATATGATATTAACAAGGTCAAGAGAAATTTCGGTGTGACCGTAACGCCTACCGCAATTGTCTTATTTCAAGAATTAGAAAGATTCAACAAATTAATAGAAACGATAACGAGGACATTGAATCAACTGAGGAAGGTCGCGCAATAAATCTTTAAGATTTAATAAGTTATGATCCATCATAAACTTATAAATATAGCGATACGTCCCACTAAATATTTTACTTTTTTATAAATTCCATTTTATTATTGCATTAATTTTTTTATTTAATAGATTTATATCGTATTTTTATTTTACAGATGTATTTTTATTGTATTGTTATTTATTTTTACTTTACAGATTATATTGTATTTTTATTTTATAGATTTATCTTGTATTTTTCTTTTACACTTTATAATACACTTTTAACTTTTTCTCTAGCTTTGCTGAATTTATCGTGCGATTTGGTATCCAAAAAAATGCTCCACCTTTAATTTTAGGCCATCGCCGGCGAAATCGGGATGGACACTACACTGGAAAACATTTCCGTGGCACTTTATAATGGTACTCTACCCAAAGAATGGGCCAAATTCGCGCCGGACACTCGAAAGAATCTTGCGGGTTGGATGGACCACTTTCATAAAAGAATAGACCAATATACTAATTGGGTAAGCGGTTGAGCGCACAAAATATCGATTCATTCTATCTTGATTAATGATATTTTCCTTCATCTTTAGTCTGGTGCGAACGAGCCCGTGGTACTTTGGTTGTCTGGATTGCACGTGCCAGAAACTTACCTGGCGGCTTTGATTCAGATAGCTTGTCGCAAGAACAGCTGGCCTCTTGATCGTTCCGTCATTTACACGACGGTATCGAGCTTCTTCAGACCTGACGATGTGGAAGAAAGACCCGATCAGGTAAATTCGATTTTTGTTCGTCTTATTCTATCGTGTTTTATTATAAACAATAATGTCAATTATTCTGCTATATATGCACTTTAATAAATAGGGATGTTATGTGTACGGATTATACTTGGAAGGCGCCAGATGGGACGTCGAGGAGCGTCGTTTGAAAAAATCGCATCCGAAAGTTTTGATAGAGGAGCTGCCAATATTAACTATCATACCTACTGAGGTTCATAGACTGAAATTACAGGTATTCAAAACAGTATGCTATTTATCATGATATTGAATTGAAAAATTCGAGTAGCAAAAATGTCACGATTTTAATTTATAATTCTTATGAAAAATGATTAAATTGAATTAAAGTAAATAATTATTTTTTAAAAATAATTATTATTTAAAAATTATTATTTTAAAAATAAATAATTAAAATAATTAATTATTTTTTTGTTGCAGAATACGTTTAAAACCCCCGTATATACTACATTAAATCGACGAAATGCCCTCGGTGTTGGTTTAGTATTCGAGGCCGATTTGACGACTCCGGAACATATCTCACATTGGGTACTTCAGGGTGTTTGTCTTGTGTTAAATACAGATTAAAATAGTGCTTCAGGTCAATGATCAAACCCGCATTCTTCCGTATCAGGACTTGTTATGTATTAATATTACAATTAATTAATATTAGCGCAATATAAACAATCATTAATATAAACAATCATTAAATTATATTCTTAACCGTCATAATTTTCTACGTTTATTATATGTATAGTTTTATAAATTTTTTATAAATTAAGAAATTGTGTGGAATATTACAATTTGATCTTAACAGTGCAAAGATATATTTTTTAATATTTATTGCGTTTTTACTAAAATATTCCGAATTTTGTTAATCGAAACGATTAACTTTTGGCAGAGAATTTCACTTTGTGACAGATACATGACTAACTTTATTAAATTATATTTAATATCTTTTTAATCAGTTAGTACTTGTATAATATTATTGGACCAAATATTTCCTCTGTATCTAAACTTTTGCAAATTTTAAACAAATTCTGAATATTATTTTCATGTGTTTTTGTTATTTGAATCGACGTGGTTATACGTTTCCCATAAGAACACATGTTAATTCAATGCAAATTAAAATCCTCATAACTTGTGAACGCTTTAGTGAATCGATTTAAAAATTGTACTGAAGATTCTAAACTAACTACACTGTAAAAATTTTTTGTGTAAATTTACAACTATTACAACTATAGTGGGTAATATTGAGACCAACTATTAAAGATGTATATTTACATACATTAGTAAATTTATATTTCATAGATAAAATTATTATCTTAAATGGTGAGCATCTTGTACTAATAAATTTACATGTTAGAAGTAGATTTCTAGAAATGTTTATATAATAATACATTTTGTATATGTATTTATTCAATTTTATATATTAAATTTAATTTAAAATTACATACATAATTAATGTAACAATTACGCTATTTGTAACGAAAATATATAAATTCATGTACTTTTACAAAAATTAGTTATTTTACTCTTTATTTTGTAAATATTCGTTTATTAAGTGTAATTTTTAAATTTTATATAAATGTTACAAAAAATTGTACATTTACATAAAATCCAAAAATTACACTTTTAACCTTGTAATTTCTCATCAAATATAAACGAATATTTACACAATAAAGAGTAAAAAAACTAATTTTTGTAAAAGTACATGAATTTATATATTTCTCTTATAAATAGCGTAATTGTTACACTGGTTATATGTGTAATTTTACATATTTTTTTTACGGTGTACGTAAGGACATTTTGTACAATTTTCATTAAATTCTCAATATTTTGAAAATAGGTACAAAACATCCTTGAAAGAGTCCCCCATCTCCTATCATCACTCATTATGAAGGGACTGTCAAATTATTTTCAAAATGTCTCTTTAAATTATCTACTTAAAATTGATTTTAAAAAATCAATTTTCCATGTATCATATAACAGAATTATATTACATAATAAAAGCTAAATAAATATATATATGTACAGTAGGCACCAATAATGCCTTATCATATGGAATTGGTCGTATTCGGGATTAATAATGACCAGTTATTATTAACTCTATAAGACACAATATTCCTAAAATATTGCATAAATATTATTAACAGTTAATAATATTTATACAATATCCTAGGAATATTGTGTGCTTATAGGGAAGTTATTATTAGTCTCGACAGAGAGAAGACTGAGAGAAGTCATGGCCCACTTTTAGATGATCTCTGAAAGCGATACTCCTTCTGTAGATATTAAAAACGTGGACATAAACTACAAAGCCAATATACACGAATGTTCTCAGAGGTAACATATATGTCTCTCTGATAATATAAATAATATAAATAAAAATATAAATAATTTAATTAATAATAATTTATTATATAAAAATATTAGTATGTTTTCTCTTTTCACGCTATTATTTATTTATTTATGTGTCTTCTTTTTCTTCTTTCAACATCATTTATTTATTTATTTAGCTTGCTCTAAGTCAGTCAGTCTTTTAAAATGCAAAACTAAATATTATAAAATTTGACTTCGGAAAAGCGCGGTAAAACAATCGAATAAATTCAAATCATTAGTATAACAAAAGGTTCCGTGATATATCAATCGTTTAATAATTAATTTAAAATAAAATATACCTCCATAATTTAAAATTCCGCGTGTATATGTAGTACGTAAAATATTTTGGCAGAGAATTATCATTAATATCATGTTTAGCCTTGGCGACGTATAGCAAGCACACTATACGAGTACATGTCACGGCTTTGTTATCATTCGCACGGTGACTCTCGAGTAATAAAGTAGTGATGAGAAACGCTTCGTATATTATAATTTTTGTACTAAACACGATTACGATTAGTATCGAAACATAATTTGCTATAAATATTAATAAGTATTAATTAATTAGAAAATAATTAACGACATAAAACTATCGCAATGATAAATCTTTATCGAATCGCATTCATTCACTACTACGAATAAAAATTGAAACAGGGGATACATAAAAGGGCATAAGAGAATTAATTATGTTATGTTATTTCAATCATATTGATATTATTATAATAATATTTCCTTAACAATATTAGAATTAAATATATTTCAACGAATGCTTTAAATATTCTCAATCCTTGTTAATTAAACAATATACAATTTAATCGAGAATCGATAAAATGATAGGAATACAAGATATTAAATAATCACTTCGATCATTGTGATCTCTTACGGACAATAATTATTATTTTAATACTTAGAGTCAAATATATTTCACCCATGTTACTTTGTCGTACTACTTGACGATCTAAATGTAATTTGCATTATGAGAGAACACGAAGTAAAACAATCGAATTACAGATGCAAATAATTAACGTAACGAAATCTCCGTGAGAAATTGTTTAATTAATAATCAATAAATTAAAGTATTTCTGTTATTTAATATTTCGCGTTAATGTATATTTTATGATATATAAAATATTTCAACGAATTGCCGATAACATGGTGTTCGTCTTTAGCAATATAAAATATAAACAGTAGCACACTATACGTTATGGCTTTGTTATCATTCGCACAATGACTCTCGAGTAATAAAGTAGTGATGAAAAACGCTTCGTATATTGTAATTTTTGTATTAAATACGATTACAATTAGTATTAAACATAATTTGCTATAAATATTAATAATTAAAAATTAACTAACTTTTGATAAAAGACATGAAACTGTATCAACGATAAATATTTATCAAAATCATTCATTATTGCGAATAAAAATTGAAACAGCGGATACATGAAAGGGATTAAATATATTATGATCTTTTGATCATACTGATGTTTATTATAATGATATTTTCTTAACAGTATTAGAACTAAATATATTTCGACCAATGCTTTAAATATTCTCAATCCTTGTTAATTAAACAATATATAATTTAATCGAGAATCGATAAAATGATAGAAATCCAACATATTAAATAATCACATCGATGTTTGCAATTTTTATGAACAATAATTATTATTTTAATATTTAGAGTCACAAATATTTCACAAATATTTCACAAATATTTCATCTGTGTTACTTTATTATTCTACTTGACAATCTAAATATAATTAGGGGGGATATAATATAATTTTGAGAGAACACGAAGTAAAACAATCGAATTATAGATGCAAATAATTAGCATAACGAAAGATTTCAAGATGAATGATTTAATAAATAATCAATTAATCTTAATCAATAAATTAAAATACTTCTATAATTTAATATTCCGCGCACAAATATTTTATATTTCAGAAAATATTTCGGCAACGAGAGAATTATCAATAACACCGACCTTGATAAACAGTATCGCGCTGTTGTTAATATGTTACACGGCTTTATTATCATTCGCACAGTAACCTTGAGTAGAGACGAGAGAGACGTTTCACATATTGTTAAATTCTTTCTTACATAGTCAACTTTGACGATATAAACAGTACCGTGATAATGTTTCTGACTTACGATCATTCGGTCAATGACTCTCGCGCAGTAAGGTAGTGATGTGAGACATTTTATATATTATCAAATTCTTTCTCTAACCACAATTGCAAGTGAAACAAGGAACTTTTCGTGAATGAGTGTAAGTGTAACGTGGAATTCAAATGAGTGCAACCAGAATTGGAGTGCCACGAGAACAAAGTGAAACAAAAGAAAAAAAAGAAGATCTTGGAAATAAGATGTAAGTCATTAACATTTTTATAAGTTATAAAATTTATATAGTATATTACAAAATTAATTATATATTATATTATATATAAAATTATATATAATATAATATAACCCTCCCATGGGGTACACCTTGTCGCGGTGGGAGGGCTTAGTACTTGGATGGTGCCTTGAGATTTATCTTAAATTTTTTTATTTATGATAAATCTTAAGGTGTTTGAATGGGAAGCTAAGTACCCTTTCGCGTCGTCGGTGCCGTCAACGTGCCGCGGACGGCAAGCGCTTCGTTACCGCGTTTTCGCGTTGTAATATTCTCACGTCGTCGCGTTTTCCGAAACCGGGAATGTCGTACAAAGTATATATATATATTAAATATATACATATATATTAAATATATATATTAAATATATCGCGCGACCAAATTTTTAATCGTACCGAATTAGTGCGGGAGTGCCGTTCAGTATCGCGCGTAAAATAGCGGAAATAGCGATATAAAAATATCGCTCGCGAGTGCGGGAGTGTCGTTAAAGTATCGCGCGCCAACAACATGAGAGGAGGAGGCCTGGGAGAGGCATCTTGCATCGGCGGAGCAACCTGATGGTAAATATTATTTTTTATTTGTATATCAATTGATATAAATTGTACGGATAATAATTCGGTCTTATTATTGAAATGATAGAATCTTATTATTGAAATGATGAATAAAGAGAATAGAGAAAAAGATTTTTATAAAAGTTATATAAAACTTTCTATTTAAAAAACCGTCTCACAAATTTATAAAATTTTTCCACACGTGTTTATCTCTGCTTATTATTTTACACATCAGATATAAAATTTCGAACGATAAAAATTTTTTGAAATATTGATTGCATTTTGTGAACATTATTATAAATGAATTTTATATTTGTATGTTACAGACAACTAGCTTCGATAACAACAACTCCGCTGTTGCGCATCAGTGCCGGTGAGTGAGAAAAACTTTTATTTAACTTTAAGATAACGGATTCGTAGACATTGTAGATGTAGATGCAGATGTAGATTGTAGTAAATCCGTTGCCTTAAAATGGATGAGCTAAGATAGATTAAATTAAATAACTATTAATAAATTCTTTCGAAATGCTTTGCATCTATTGCGAAAATGTATTAAAGTATTTATTCAAAAAAAAGAATCAAGAAAAGAAAATTTTTTTGTAAAGATTTTGTCTAATTTATGAAATAAAGAGCATGCATTAATAATTTTATCAATTTTATCAATTTTTGATGCTACTTTATTTTTATAACGCGCACTTATTTTATTCTAATTTCTTATAGTTCATCCATCATAGAATTTGTTTGTAGATATTGTTTTGAAACTTTAACTTAATATAAAGCCAAATGGTTAATTAAATAATTTGTAATATGATAAAAGTTATACAGACACATGAATTTTATATTTTATTACAAAATATAATATAATATACAGTATACAAATACAGTATACAGTATACAGTATACAAATAAAATATAATATACAGAATTTGTAATAATTTGGCTTTATTTGAGTTAAAATGAAATTATATTCAAATATTTAATAAACGATTGTAAAATTGAGCGATCGTTACGATGAGCGTGAAATATTTACGCTCATTTACCGGTAATTAATCGGCAAAAGAAGGAGTGTTTATCTCTTTTTTCGATCTCTGATTAGAGATCGAGGGAGAAAGTGGCCAGGATCAACGAAAGGTAAATTCAACTGGCCTGAAGAAAAGATTTATACAATATCACGTAATGTCGGACATTTATTCACGCGGTTAAGGCATGCAGTTAGAGAATGTAATTAGGGCACATAATTTAAAATATACGTGTTTAGAGATAGGCACGAATAATTTCACTTAATCGAGAAATAGGATTGTTAGGGCTATCAGGTGATTATTAAGATTTTTTAATTTTCCTTTCAAGAAGTAGAGGATTGTTAGGACTATTATGTGATTAATTTAGGTGATTAATATATTATGTATCTTTTAAAGAATAGGAAATGTAGGTTTAAATAATATTAGGGAAAACAGATTAATAAATATTTCAAATTAATTATAATTAATAAAAAAAATATAAGGCTCAAAATATAAAATTAAACAATCAGTTTTAATAGCAATACGAGTCAAGTATCGATTTTATAACACAATTATTTATTATACAATCAAATAAATATGGGCCAATTTATTAAGAAAAGTTAGCGAACGTTTCGACCCTATTTTTGGCTTATCTTCAGCGCAAATGTGATGATGTGATAAAAAACAATAACAAAAGGTTTTATATCGGAGTCAATTACAAAGTGTGCCGTCTAAAGTAATAATAAATGCCTCGGTATCTCATTATTTTGACGATGCCTGTAATAAAATCAGTCAAATTTGTTAAAAAAAATTATTTAAAATTAAAAAACAAAAAGTAAAATAAATTAAATAAATAATGTAAACTAAAAATAAGTAAAAAAAATAGAATAATGCAAAAAAAGGGATTGTTAGCGCTATTAGGTGATCATTAAAATTTTTTTAGGAAGGGACAAGTATGACAAGTGATGATAATTTTTGATGTTAATACAAAGGAATATAATAAACCACATAATAATCCAAGAACTCGAAGAAGAGAATATATTGGATAGAAATACATAGTGATTGGAATCTGAAAGACAGTATGCATACAACCTATTTGTTAATAGTAATACTATTTTGTAATTATATTAAATTTTATAATTTAGTACATTGTATTATCTAAAGTATTAAGCACAAAAATATTATGCTGGTATGAAAATTATAATAAAAATATAAAAATAAAAATAGTGTTAGCATATGAATTCTTTATATTTTATATAAAGGAAGAAACTTAAAATATTTTGCAATATCTATATTTTTCGAGTCTTGATTATAAAAACTTCAGAAGAATCAATTGATATTAATTTGACAAATTCTATACATGTATTAATATTTAAATTTTTAAATAATTAAAAAAAATGATTGATAAATATCAAAGATCAGTTTACTGCTAATTAAGAAGATTGATAGAAATGCGGTTAAAAATGTTTTTATTCCACAGCAGGCATTTTGTGCTTTGTAAATAAAAAGATATAAGTATGACAAGGAATATAGAAAAATATTTATTTCATCTTTGAATATTACAGTATCTTTCGCGATTGAATAATTTATTTACCATCAATTTATTTACCATCAAACATACATAAATATCTTGTTATACAGCTACCGACATTTCGCACTTCTGAGAACATTCATGAATATTGTCTTTGTAGTTCATGTCCACGTTTTCAATGTCTATAGAGGGAGTATCGCTTTCACAGATCACCTAAAAGCAGGCCATGACATCTCTTATTAGTCTTCTCTCTGGTCTCGAATGCGACCAATTTCATATGTTAAGGCATTATTGACGCCTATTGTACGTACAAATTCATTTTTACAATTATGACTATATATTCACTAAATAATTTATTCACAAAATTGGCACAAGTTTATCTAAAGTAGTTTCAAAAATTTATCATACAAAGAGATCTGTACTTCCTGCTGGTAAACAATCCATCTAAGCTAACGTCACTCGACCGAACTACTGTCACTTTACTCTAACCTACTCGTCACCAAATCACATGTTCGATGAGCCTCGAGTCCAAACAAACGAAAATAACTATTCCCTTTTTCTAGTTTCATTCAGATAAGTTTCCAACATGTTGAGGACCAAGGTTGAAACCGATAATCGCGTTAATTAACGCAGTGCAGAGGATCTGCGCGAGGAGGAGAGTCGTGAATCGTGGCGTCACCTGTCAATACCTCGGGACGGTGCTGCGATTCTACGAGGTGGGATTTAATCGGGGATGGGAAAATCGCGTCGAACTCTCGATAAAGCATCTTCCGATTCCCTGATGCTTGCCCGCGCGATTTAACGTCAAAATCCACCCGATATCGCAAGGACGAGCGCAAAGCTGAGCTGAATGGATCCTGGAATCACTCGAATCTCGTAGCAGAACGCCAATTGAAGCGCACGAGCGTGAAGGAAGATACGATAGAGAAAGAGAGACAGAAAGAGAGAGAGAGGGAGAGAGAGCGAAGGAGACAGCTGAGCCAGCGAGAGCGAGACGGAGACAGAGAGAGAAGAGCGTAGATACTCTGGAAAGTCGGAAGCATCACGAAGTTCGTCACGCATCGTGTGCCTGTCACGGCTGGCTGATAAAAGCGCGCCGTTTCCCAGGGAAAAATGAGAGCGATGTCTTCATACTCGGTAAACCTATTAACGGTCTCATCCAATTAGCCAAGTCGGCTGTCCAAGACTGGACGTTGTGTCAGGCGATCGTTTGACAGCTACACAATAGGCAGCTATTTATCGATTTTTCCGTAACGTTAGTCGTGAAATTCGTGCCTCGTCGAGGAAGTTTTAGACCCTCGAGCCCGATCTCGGGACCTGTTCATCTCGTTTGTCGCTTCCGCGTCGCGAATCGAAATGTCAAAGACGCCAGTGACTCTGAAAATATTTTAGGTTATGTTGTACGATAGCATTTGTTTTGTTGCACCGCGTACAGACGCCAATAATGCCTTGACGTGAAGTTGGTCGCATTCGGGATTAATAATATCATTTCATTGGACTCACTTCACTCGAAAGTTATTAAGTTATTTTAGCTTGGCGGAATTGGACTCACTTCACTCGAAAGTTATTAAGTTATTTTAGCTTAGTGGGGATAGAATAAGCTTGAATCTATAAACACCACTCGCTTTAAATAGGAGTTATAATATCAGCGTTTTTAAATCGAAGTTAGAAACCTTATAAACTTAATCAATGGCTAGATATTATTAAGTTATTATTAATCTCGAATGCGACCAACTTCATGTGTTAAAGCATTATTGGCGCCTACTGTACAACGGTTAAAGATTGTTTAAGGCAACGTGACATCTCGCTAAAAATTTCACGACTTTCAACAAAATCTTTCAACGAAGTCAGCTGTTCGATTGTTTTTTTTTGGGGGGGCTCAACAATCAAGTTGTTTGTACTGTGATTCTATTGTTTTGACGTTTCATTCTGTGCATTGTTTGTCATCAGTGAAACTGGAAGGAGAATCTGACAGAACGCTCGAGAAAATAGGAAATGTACGGCGCCGAGAGGGAGGAAGTGTCTGAAAGCTGGTTACATACGTATGATCTGAGCAGTACTATGATTCCCAATATAAGTACGGCCATGGACGATGAGGAGCATTTTTGCAAGCTCATCTTATACAAAGAGATCAAGGATTCAAGGTACGATTATTACTTATCATTTACCACGAGATAATATAATCAACTTGACAGATTTCATCTGGCGTCTTTCAGAGTCCGAATATGGGATGTCATCATTCTAGTACCGAATCTCTTGTTCCTTCTATTCATCGCCATGCGATTCAACAGAGCGAGGCTTAAGTTACGTGCAACGAGTAGTCCGATATTTTTAGCATTTTACGGTCTCGTTATTTGTAACGTAGTTATATCAGTCGTACGCTGCATTGTATCGATGACAGTAAATGCAGCGGCAACAGTTGGCGGCAAAGCCGACAAGGTTTTGTGGGTCACCGTGAGATTTTTTCTACTATCTACCGAGATGAGCGTTGTTATATTTGGTCTAGCGTTTGGTAAGTGACATACTGGTGTTCGAAAAGGAGGAAGAACCCGCACAGTATTTATTAATATGCAATTTTCATTTTGTTTCCTACTTAGGCCACTTGGATAGTCGTTCTAGTATTCGTAGAGTCTTACTCGCTACGTCATTTATAGCACTGGCATTTACAATCACTCAAGGAACGTTGGAATTAGTTTTGCCAGATGATACATTTCATATTCCCAGCCGTGATTTTTACGTGTTTGGTCATGGTGGTATGATGTTTTGGTTTTGTAGCAGTCTCGTTTTTACTACGGTATGCTTGTGCACATTTTTAATTTTTTTTTCTTTCGTTGGAAAATTTATACATATATCGCTGAATACGTCTCGATATCGCTTTTTAGATATATCTCTTCATATTAATACTGCCATGGACACGGTTACGGGACCGCCTAGCACTTCCTAGTAAGCAGTTCTTATCACAGATTATATAACGCTTCTCTGATTGTAATTATTATATATGTACGCTTCCTATTGCAGCACGGAAAAGCTTTTACATTTATGCTGGAACGCTAGCGACATTGGATCTAGTGCAATCAATTGGCGCAGGCTTTCTAAACTACACGCAAAATCCAGTGGGATTATGCATTGTAGACTTCACAGCAGCAGTGTATTTAAGTCTTTTTACTCCTTTGGTTTACCATACATTCCTATCGGAATTCTTCGGGTAAGCCACTGCAACATGTAGCAATATGTTAGCAACACGAACAACTGGGTCGTTATGCATGGCTAATATTTTGTAAATTATTCTGTTTTCAGGGTTTCACAACCTTCGATAATGTTCTCTTACAAAGCGCAAGTAGATGACGCAATGGACGAAGACACAGTATCGTTACCGCATCAACAGAGTTTTTCATCCTTGAAAACCGACAGCGATTACATCTATCAGGTCCATACTCCTTCTATTCACATACCGTTGTATGATTCTCAAGCATTGAAATCCTTCAAGCAGGGAGCTTCTCTTTATTCCTTAACATCAGCTAAAGATCTGAAAAATAGCGACTCGAGCACCTTTGGTTCACCAATTAGGTCATATCGCTCGACAACCGGTATTAGAAGCTTCGGTAGAGATCTCAACACGGTGAAGGACACCTCGGAATTGGCTGATTATCCTTTGATTAAATCCGACCCTTTGTCGACCATCCAAAAGAGTGTGCCGGATCTAAGATTTTCCAGTCCGAGCCGGAAAACCGTTTCTGTCAAGTACGGTGGACCCAGTAACGTCTCGAATTTGCTCCTCTCGCCCGATACCGCTAGTAACTTCCTCTACAAACCGAAAACGATCGACAGTAACGTTAATCTGTATTCTCAAACGAGAAAGAGTAGCTTAGAAGGTGTATTGGATGGCGCAGCTGTAGATCGCGCGAATATAGTTGAGAACATTCCGCATGGACATGGTAACTTTTCGGAAATACCTCAAGTTCCAGCGTTAGAAAATAGCCTACAATCTATTTTGGAAAGCGGGTCGCACGAAATTGAAAGGGAGGATTCCCAAGAATCTCGATTAAGGATAAGCGATGATTTAGCGCTTCAAGAGAGCGCTGCTACTCTAAAGCCGAGCTATTTAACGACGGGAATTTTAGACACTGAATTCTTCAAAATTTCCTCGGATGATGCGTTACCTGATATATCTGATACCTCGAATGTTACACAGCAATTATTTCCTAGCTCTTCTCGTTCAACTGTCGCCTACAAAAGAAACCAAAATGATTCGAAGGCGGGAGATTCGGGCGGCCTAAGTGATTATTTGCTATCTATAACATCTCCAAAATTCGAAAAGCACAAAAAGAATAGGACGCAGCAAAATCCCGATCCCTCTCAAGATTCAGATACACAAACTGAATCTTTGTAAAATAGCTTATCGCTCTAGAGTCACTGTGTCTGTAGACCATGGATGACTTGTCCAAGTTTTACATTGATTTTATCAATAATTTTAAGATACCATTTTAGAGCTTGATTTAACTGTAAATATATTTTAGCACGTTTAGAGAATCATATATAAAATTAAACATATTGATGTAGTCAATGCACTTGGTTTCATTTATTTACACTAACTTTGGGCAATTTCCCTTGGACAACGATATCATTCTGCTTCTTTACGAATCTTGTAAATATATATTCAAGAGTCAAACGCACCTGTTTGCACCGTGCTTTCTAACGCAATAGTACACGCGAGACACGATGTTTCTGTTATAATGCTTGGATGTTTAATTAATGAATTTAATTTCACCGGCGTTGTATTAACTTCACGGTAATTTTTTTAATTAATTGGTTGATTGACTGATTGATTGGAGGCCTGCCTCGGAATGCAAAGCGGAATGTTCTTTCTTCTTTCTTTGCAGAATCACAGCGTTTATGACTCGACCCAGTTTGACACGAACGCTACGCCAATCAACCCGCTCTACGCGGCGTCTCTTCAAAGCCCAGATAGTATTACCGGTTACAGTATAGACAGTCAAGAGGCACCGAATCCGCCAAATGGTTATCAGCAATGAACTTATCGCGCATATCGATTCGGTGTGCTACAGAAAAAGCTACAGAACAAACCTGGATATATACGAACAATTATTTCAACGGTTAAATTTTACTACGAATTTCGTGAGAGCCCCTCTGAAGAATTCGCTATTTTTCTTCGAAAGGAGCGTATCGTACACGAAGAAAAAAGTTTCGGAATTGAAGTAACGTTATGAATGATCTAAGGAAGGATTCTAGTCGTTCTTAGAGAATTTTCAAGGCCGTAAATAAACACGAATTGCTCCCGGTCTTCATGTGATAGTTGGCGCTGATGCGCCAAATTGTGATCGCAAAATGTTGGAAGAAATCTCGTAAAAACTTGGAATCTCTAGATGGTTTTAATTTGCTTTATTGTTAGGGCCTGAGGTTCTTTCTCAAAGGATAATTATTAGAAGGTGTACAGCATTAATTTATATTATTTTTGTACTTAAATAGAGACTTTGGGATCGTCGCGCGAGTGAATCTTTTATAGCACGTGAAAAAGTAGAACTTTTTTTTCAACCAAACGTTTATTTATTCCAAAGTACGTACAAGATGTATAGGTCGTTTTAAAATTCGCATACTACTTCTTGAACGCAAACACTAGTCTATCTCTTTTTTTTTTTATTCATTAAATATATCTTCATCTAAATAAGGAGAATTCGGTGAAACAAAATTAGAAAATAAAAATTTATATCAACATTCTTTAAAATTATCCCCGTTATAATGGTTAACAATAAGTAGTGTGCGACTTTTGCAATGCCCTATGCATGTAGTGCAATCAATCTCATAGCGGAATATCGTCTTCGTCTCTATAGTTTCGTAATGAAAACTGCAAAAAATTGGTGTAACGGCCACGGTGGGATATCAGAAAGACAAAAACCAAACACTTAGATTTAACTTTCGAATCTTGCTTATCGTTTCTCCGTCCTTCTCATCAAAGTGGACGTCGTATCGTTCTAAGGTGATCCCTCCTTGCGCGTGGAATTACGCGCAAGCGACAAGCCGGACACGCGCTATTTTCTTACTTTTGCATCGAAAATCATTAGATTGATTATATAAGGACAATAGGAGTCATTAAGATTGAAACACGTCGCGGGCGGAGATAATTTTTTAGATTTAAGAAAAACTCTTCGACGCTCCAATAACTATTACGGAAGACTCCATCCATGATGTATATACATAATCTGTATTCTAATGTAAAAGATATCGTACTATTTATATATACATTAATATATATACACATTATATATATACATATATTTATCGATATTATGTATCTCCGTAATCTGACGTTTCAACTGTCAAAACATTCGCTCCTGCGCTGTCCGCTTTTTTTTTTTTTTTAATCGAACGTTTATGGTTTATGGCGCAGAAGGGAAGATAAGAAAAAACATATACAAAATTAGTATTATTAGAAAATTGACGAAATGTTTATCACACATCATGCGACATCCCCAAGACGTGATCGTAGATTCACGAGGTTGTAGATTCCTCCGTTTTCCTATGTGCATTTTAGAGGAAGGAAGACTAAGAGGAACGGAAGAAAAATCACAAGTGATAATGTAACTACGTATTTCCTAGCGTTTAAGCCATTCGAACTTGTATATAGCAAACGGAACAGCATGAAATAGTGTATTACACGAGGAGTCTCTCAATTGCTTTTTACCATCTCCGACTGTCAATCACCCCGCACTCTTCACGAACGTTACCTGCGACCGTCTGACCGTGTGTGATTCTTTTGTAAGCATCGAGTGCAGTATATAAGGCAATATTATGTGACCGCGTCATATAGATATAATTGAAAAAAAAAGTAAAATAAACATAAATTACAATTCACTGTACGTTTTGTATTTTTTCGAAAATACGAAAATCTCACGTGGCTCCATCCGCGCGTGATGCCCAATATACAGGGTGTATCTGAAATGATGCACTAAACTTTAGGAGCGTGTTCTAGAGGTCAAAATAAGACTTTTTCTTATGAACATTTCTTATGGGGTCCGCAAATGAACCTCTCTCCGAGCTAATATTCGAAAATGTGACCATACATCCGCAACGCAAATGTATTTATCTCTCAAAAGAGGGTGACAGATAACGTCAAAATATTTTTTTTCTAAAATATAGCCAATTTTTAATTTTTTCCCCAAACTTTAGAGGCCTCCAGCTTGGAGAGGGGTTTATTTGCGGACCCATGTTCATAGGGAAAAGTCTTATTTTGACCTCTAGAATCCCTATACACAATATTCCTAGGATATTGTATAAATATTATTAACTGTTAATAATATTTATACAATATTTTAGGAATATTGTGTCTTATAAGGATACGCTCCTAAAGTTTAGTGCATCATTTCAGATACACCCTGTATATTATCTTAAAATGAATTTACATATTTTATGATTTATAATTTTCTAGTCAAATATTATATATTTAAATTAATTTATGATTACATTACCCCTAATCTAAAACAATGATCTATTGAATATCTATTGAATATACAGGGTGTCCCATTTTAATCCATCCAATCGAATATCTCGAAAACCAAGCTTGAAAGAGAAAAATGTTTCAGACAAAAGTTGTATGGTTTCAAGGGGGCCATAAGATGGTATCATTGGTTTGACCTTGAAGAGTCATTTGAAGATCACACAAAGGTCACTTCAATTTTTTAAAATAGAACATCCTATATATTTTTATATATTCTTGTAGCTCATCTCGAGATCTTTCCAAAACACTATAATAAAGTATTTCTTCATTGAATACTTTTCGAGTTATGAGGCTTGAAATAATTTCTTAATTTTACATAAACCATAAAATATATAGTAAAATATTCATTTTTCGATTATCTTACCTTAATACTTTTATGTACGAAATAATGAGAGGAATCAATTGATGTAAAGAAAACATACAGTTGTTTTTAAGAAAAAATATGGAATTTGCAATTAACAATTCCATATTTTTTGTTAAAAACAACTGTATGTTTTCTTTACATCAATTGATATCTCTCATTATTTTATATATAAAAGTATTAAGGTAAGTTAATCGAAAAATGAATATTTTACTAGATATTTTATGGTTTATGTAAAATTAAGAAATTATTTCAAGTCTCATAACTTGAAAAGTACTCGATGAAGAAATACTTTATTATAGTGCTTTGGAAAGTTCTCGAGATGAGCTACAAGAATATGCAAAAATATATAGGGTGTCCGATTTTAAAAAATCAAAGTAACCTTTGCATGACCTTCAAATGACTCTTCAGGGTCAAATCAATGGTACCCTCTTATGGCACCCTTGAAACCATACAACTTTTGTCTGAAACATTTTTCTCTCTCGGACTTGGTTTTCGGGATATTCGACTGGATGGATTAAAATGGGACACCCTGTATATTAAAACATGCATATTTATCTCAGAACTCTGAACTAAAGGCAATCGATAAATCATAATTTTCAATCATATTTTGAGTACAGTTCCCTTATATTAGACATAAACAAAATTAATATTTTTTAGAAAAACTTTTCCCTTAACAATTAGCGAAATACGCAAATGTAGCTCAAAGAAGTTGCGGACAAATATTAGTTGTGCGAGCATTTGCTAGATGGCGAAGCAAGTACATCTGAGAGAGAATTACTCTACTCTGCTATTTCAGAAGAGAAATCACAAATAATTTAATTTGTTATAAATTATTTTAGATTATATTATAATGTGCATCTATCATGGTAGACCAGTATATCACAATATTATAATCATCTAAACAATATGTTGTAGAAATCATATTTTGTGACGAGACAAAGTCTTTTCAAAGTGCACCAATGTTAAACACCGCTTGAAAATTCTATACACAACGTGACTAGTATTATTCATCAGCAAAGTCTTTAGCATAAATACGAAGGGATCATTGACTCGTGTCGCTTTGCGTGCCAATCGTTACGACTTAACATTACGAAAAACTTTCTCTTTATATTAAACTCGGTCAATGGCGTATGTTATTCAATGAGGGTTCGAAGGCGAGTTTATGTTCACAATAGCGTGTCGAGTTCGAGATTGACAGATCCAGGGTGACTCATAGACAAATATTCCGCAATGCAAATAATCTAATCCAATGTTATCCGAGAAATAGTCGCAGTAGAAATAGTACAAAGAGTACGGATCGAAAAATCCATCATACGATTAGAATTTGAATAGGTGGCCCCGAACGTTCCAGCCAGACTTTGAGATCTTATAGGAAATTTAATTCTGAACAAAAAATTTCCTATAAACATAGGTCGAAAAATGCTTCCTTAAGAAGTTATCGCTCAAAAACCTCTGATGAAGCAAGAGCAAAAAAGATGAAAAGAAAATGAAACTAAATAAATTTCTTGAAAAAAAAACGATAAAAATAAAAAATAAAAATCTTTTTCTTTTATGAAAATAAAATAATTTCTTTTTTAACTAACTTTTATTTTATTTTCATAAAAGAAAAAGATTTTTATTTTTTATTTTTATCATTTTTTTTCAAGAAATTTATTTAATTTAATTTTATTTTTATTTCATTTTCTTTTCACTTTTTGCTCTTCCTTCATCAGAGGTTTTTGAGCAATAACTTCTTAAGGAAGCATTTTTCGACCCATGTTTATAGGGAATTTTTTGTTCACAATTAAATTTCCTATAAGATCTCAAAATCTGGCTGAAACGTTCGGGGCCTGTATATTTTATTCGATTAATTTTTGACGTTTTAATTTAAAAAAATTCAATCTATCCTCTCTGTGTACAGGGTGGCCCCGAACGTTCCAGCCAGACTTTGGGATCTTATAGGAAATTTAATTCTGAACAAAAAATTTCCTATAAACATGGGTCGAAAAATGCTTCCTTAAGAAGTTATCGCTCAAAAACCTCTCATGAAGGAAGAGCAAAAGGTGAAAAGAAAAATGAAATAAAAAGAAAATGAAACTAAATAAATTTCTTGAAAAACGTCTTTATTCATTTTCTACTATTACGTGCTATTAAAATATTAGTTAAAAAAAATTATTTTATTTTCATAAAAGAAAAAGATTTTCATTTTTATTTTTATCGTTTTTTTCAAGAAATTTATTTAGTTTCATTTTCTTTTTATTTCATTTTCTTTTCCTTTTGTTCTTCCTTCATCAGAGGTTTTTGAGCGACAACTTCTTAAGGAAGCATTTTTCGACCCATGTTTATAGGAAAGTTTTTGTTCAGAATTAAATTTCCTATGATCTCAAAGTCTGGCTGGAACGTTCGGGGCCACCCTGTATATTGTATGTACCCAGATTATAAGTTTACTTAGCGCATCGTTTTTTTTTTCAGAGCTTGGACGGTAGCAAAGGATAAAAATTCCAAACGTTGCGCACTATGGCGTTGTCGCACGTGAAAGCTCGAAGCACGTCGGGATCTGGAATGAAAATAGAAGCGAGAGATAACTCAATATTCTAAATAAATAAACCTAGATTCAATTTTACAATGAAATAATTAAAACCGAAAAAAAAGAAAAACAAAGAGCAGAACAATTAAAATATTTTAGCTCTGTCTTGTCAACAAATCCTAATTTTACAAAAGCTAATCTGAGAAAATATACGTATATAATTTAATATCTTATCCGCGATTTGATGAGACTTTATTTGCGGAAATAATTCAAGATTGGCTCGGGTCGATGTGTCGGCTCTATAATAGTCTTTTGTCCCCTGCGGCGCGGAAGGCTTACAGTCCAGGCATCGTCCAAATTATATAGTCGTTAGATCGTCGTCAGTGGCCAATTTAAATTTGTTTACTGACTGTCAGTGCGCAAGTATTCCCGCAGGGGCCGGTCCATCACCGCAGCCGGCACCGCCAAGCTCATCCGCGGGTACAGCACGGCACCGTCCGAGGAGAGCGCGTTGCAGACGATCATTCCCAGCATCTCGCCGGTCGCGCGACTGACTATCGGACCGCCACTGGTGCCGCTCTGAGCGCAACAAGTCGTCAGGAGCGCGCAGTCCATCGATTTGGAGATCACGCCGCTGCTAATGGTCGGCCGGACGGACGAAAAGAACGGAAATCCCACGGACACCACCGGCTCGCCTGCAAATTTATCCATGTACAATTAACGTATAGATATATTTTAAGAAATTTATATTTTTTCATTTTTTGTAAATATGTTTTTATTTTTATATTTTTATATTTTTATATTTTTTAATTTTTTGTAAATATGTTTTTATTTTTATATTTTTATATTTTTTCATTTTTTGTGTAAATACGTTTTTATTTTTATCCACTAAGGGCCTTGAAGTTTTAACGCTTAATTCTTTACATAAAAAGCAGGGTTGGCATGTTTTAAACAATGTGTTTAAAACTGTTTGATCAAATCTTGTTTAAAACAGTGTTCATTGTTTTAAACATTTTTGTTTTAAACTGTTTTAAACTATTGTTTAGAATCGTTTAAAATATCGCGAATAAAATATGTGATTATTTGGAAAAGAAATTGTAAAAAAAATTAAAAACAAACAAAAACTAATAGATATGCATGTTGCAAAAAAGTTTTTGTTTTAGTGTTTTTAGTTTTTTATCTATATTTATGTAACATATAGATATAAAAATATAAATAATAAAATAAAAATGATGAGGTGGGTATTATTTTAGCAGAATATTTATTTTTGGATATTAAATAACAATTAATACAATAAAGATTACTTAGAAAATGTTGACTGACTTTATATTTTACATTTTAGCATTTTAAATTAATTGTACATAACTCATAGCAGGTCAGTAGTTTTAAAAAAAAGTTCTTCTTTTAAAAAGAAGAATTAAGGTTTTTTTCTTTTATTTAGAATTATTTTTCTTTTATTTAGAATTTATGTTGAGAGTTAAGCATGAGACTACTTAATAAGAATAGGAAAGGAATCAAAGTATTATATATTAAATATTATATATAAATTTATATATTATTTATATATATTTTTTATATATTATTAACTAGAACTTTTTTTTAGAAACTACTGACCTGCTATGAGTTATGTACTATTAATTTAAAATGATAAATGTAAAATGTAAAGTCAGTCAATATCTTCTAAGTAATCTTTATTGTATTGATTGTTATTTAATATCCAAAAATAAATATTCTAAAATAATACCCATCTTATCATTTTTATTTTATTATTCATATTTTGAATAGCGTTGTCAATTTTGGCAACGTTATTTAGAGTTTAACGCTAGCGAAAAATTTAAATATTTACACAGATCAAAGTTATTAAGTGTTTTTGCTTGTTTAAAACATGCTTTTTTGTTTAAAACGTGTTTTTTTACTTTACTTAAAAACACAAAAAAAAATAAAAAAACATTGTTCTAAACAAAAAAAAATGTTTTTTGTTTAAAATAAAAAAAAGAACAAGTTTTTTGCCAACCCTGCTAAAAAGGGTAATTATTAAAGAGGAAGAATAGTAATGATAGAAACCAAAAAAACTGCATCATTAGTAACTTTAATAAATGATGCTTGCTAAAAAGGGTAATTATTAAAGAGGAAGAATAGTAATGATAGAAATCAAAAAACCTGCATCATTAGTAACTTTAATAAATGATGCAGAGCTTCAATAATGAGATAATAATTCAAACATTATAATAAAATTCCGTTTTCATGTAAGACGAAGACTTTTCTAAAAATTTTGCACCGCAATTCGCGATAAACATATTAATAAAAGCAAAACTCTTATGTGGTAAGTAGATTTTTATTACGATCGAATAAATGGATGGCTTGTATGTCGGTTTCCAAGTTAAAAGAAGGAGGCCAAATATCAATTTTGCCACATCAACGATGATCAATTGACCCAATTTTTCGCAATTATACGTTATTTCTATCCTAATATAGAAGAAGGTCAATGTTCCTGGTGTCGAAGCGCCAGGAAACCGTTTGACACGCTGCTGGATATGTCGCTAATTTCCTCTCGTTGAGAAAAGCTACGAGAATAAGCCCCTTGGTCTATCATTCTAAATGTTTTAGGTAACAGTTCGACGTGACGGAAACTATTAAAATTAACTTCTTTTGAAACGTTAGAGATAAAATTGAAAAATAAAAAGATTGAGAAAAAGTGCAAAATATTTACCTTTTACAACCGGAACACGAGACAAACGTAACGGCCTCAACGAGGGATCTATATCCTGTGGATTCACCCTCAATACAGCTACGTCGTAAGGCTGATTCTCCGGAGTCCTGTACAGCAATTTCGCCCACGTGCGTGAATTGGTCTGATCTGTCATTACGATTGATATCTCCCGTTCTGGCGCCTATCGGAATTTATTTTGACTTAGCTATATTTTTTTGTCGTAAAAAGTTATCCATTTGCCACATGCTGAGCTTATTGCACAAAATGCGATCAATTTTTTTACGTCGTTAAGATATATTTAGTATTTTTTTCTTATGTAAATAAACATCAGAGTATACAGGGTGGGCCATTTTAATCCGTCCACAGGAATATCTTCCTCAGGTAGGGGCGATAGCGGAAAATGCCTCAAACGAAAGTTTCATGGTTTTAAAGAAGATATAAGATGGTGTCATTAATTTGACCTTAAATAGTTACTTGAAGTCACGTGAAGATTACCCTCAATTTTTTAAATAGAACCGCCTATTTTTTATTACATATTCTTGCAGCTTATCTCGAGAGCTTTCCAAAACACTATAATTATGTTAGTTTTCATTAAGTACTTTCCGAGTTATGAGGCTTGAAATTGTTTCTTAATTTTACATAAACCGTAAAATATCTTGTAAAATATTTATTTTTCGATTACCTCACCTTAATACTTTTATGTACAAAATAATGAGAGGAATCAATTGGTGTAAAGAAAACACACAGTTGTTTCGAAGAAAAAATATGTAATTGTTAATTGCAAATTACATATTTTTTCTGTTTTCGTATAAATGCCTAAGTTTGATTTTACCTCGGCGACGACGTGAGAGCACGTCAGGAATGTACCAGTATCCTTGTCCACGAGAATGCCCGTACCCCAATTAATCCCACATCTAACAAGCACGACGCCTCTATCTAATGCTTCTGTAACAAAAAGATAAAGATTTTGTTGCATGTGGACGTATTGAAAAATAACAGAAGAAACAATATTAACGAACCATGTTCCTGGCGACTTATGATCGGAGGACAACAAGGATCCTTCTTCTGCAAAATATTGAGCAAACACGGAGCAAGATTGGCGGCGAAGGTGTAATCCACCCATTCTTCACGACACCAACTCAATGGCGCGATCACCATCCCGCTGATAATTCGATGTTTGCTACGTGAAAACATCCGCGTCAAAAAAAATTCAAACATGATAAAATGATAAAAATCATCTATTTGATAACTAATTGATTCTATCGAAATTTTACTAAGAGAGAATTCCGAATCTAAGATTTTTTCGAAAAAAGTTAGGAATATTTGCATGTAAACTATATGATTTGAATACGGGGCACGCCAAGTTTTCATATCTTACTTCGACCTGAAGGTAGGGTTGCACAAGATCTAAGACAAGACAATATTCGTAAAAATATTGTATTGGTATTGAAAATTTTCAAAAATTTTAATCTTGGTCTTGGTCTTGAGTGAATATTGGTAGCAAAAATCTCGTCTTATATTGTCTTGTCTCGATTTTATTAACAATTTTTTATCTAATATTAAAAAATTATTTAAATAATATTTAACATAAATTTTGTAATATAATTTGAAATAATTATTACTATTGTATTATATTTTAATTATAATTATTACTATGTAATCGATATAAATGCCGTCTATTTACATAAAAAAAAACATTTACTGTTTCATGGAAAACAGAAATTAATAACTATTTACAGACTCCAAGGGAATGTGCAGATATAAGTATTTCGGAGTGGTAAAAAAATCAGGTTCATATTTATCCCACAAAAATAGCTCGAGACATTTGTAAAATCAATTGCCTCGTCCGTGCCAGTAGAAAGACTTTTCTCAATAGGAACTCTGACTATGTCAAAAAATAGAACCAGATTACAAAGTAAATCTTTGGAAGCACTAATGTGCATCAATTCATGGGTGAAATGCTCTTTAATGTCTAAAATTTGCGAGTTTGATTTCTAATTTATAAAAATGTTATATTGTATTAATATTAAATGTTTTTAAATTTATTAATATAAATGTTTTTATTGAGTAAAATTTTTTTAAATATAGTGATTTTTCTTTTCATTTACAAATGAAAATATTTTAATTTTTTTGAGAACCAATAATCTTGACAAGACTAATAATCTTGACAGTTTTAGTCTCGGTAACTTGTCTTGATAACTAATTAAAAATCTTGCTTTGATCTTGTCTTGAAATTCAAATATCAAGACTAATCTTGGTATCTCGTGCAACCCTACTTGAAGGTCATTTATGCGATTTAAAAATTGTGTAAAACTTTTTTAAATTATATACATCATATAAAAAATGCTATAGGAATTAAAGTAATCTTAACTCATTTAGTATCGATTACGAATTAATATCACATAATTTATTGTACTTGGCTAATAGTATTAATCTCATATCGGTTTTTAAATATTTTGTTTTTATCATTCTTAGATTTTTTTATTTTTTTAAAGATTTTTCTTATGCACTTGGCGTATTTTTTTAACTTTATAAGGTTTTCTTAAGGGGTTTGCATGTACTTAAGTTTAAAATGAAGCGAAGATAATCATATTTCATGAATCTCTTGACAACAGAAAGACTCAAGGATGCCTTTTGAGTAAAGAGAGTCTAAATAAACACGTCCGAGAGTTCTAAGAATCGCCGTAATTACCAGTCTGGCGGAATGACGTAGACGGGACCACCCTCGCTACCGGGAAACGCATACGCGTCTGTCATAATGACGCAGCCCTCATCGCCGACGACGTTGCTGATGACCCCACGCGCGATCGAGCCGATGAACACGGGATTGCCGAAGGGGGTGGACTCTATTTCTGAGAGCGATCCGCGAATGGGAGTCCGCAGAGACTGGTCCAGCAGACAAGAGAGAGCTTGTTTGATCGTTGGAATTTCCACGGTTGATTTCCCATTTTCTGAATCGGCGATGAAGACAAGTAGGTAGATCGGTCGTAGCAATCGATCGAACTTGATCGTCGATTTAGGGAAGTTCCACGTTTCGAAAAATCCGTCGAAGGTCCTCATCAGCAGCGGACACTTCCAAGCGGCCACGACGCTGCCGAGATGCTCCTGAACGCGCGAATAATCGTCCGATCGAGAACCATCGTCGATCTCTGGATCGCGATAGACACGAAATTTCAATTCGTTCGTGAGTTCCATAGGTGCGATGGTTAGTTCTCCCGGTACGATACTTGTGATAAAGCTCGATATGGCCTGAGACTTGTCGATAATCTGGCTCAGAGCAGTGCCATGCATCAGTATCCAATTTTTTGAGATCGAGATGCCAGAGTTCCCTCGCGGTGTGCCTCGTGGATCTTTATCGATCGACGAGTGTAGTAAAAGCGCGCTTTTTGGAACGTCCATCTTTTTTCGACGATACTGCATAGAAAAAAATCGAAATATCTCAGTTTTTTTGAATCGAAAAAAGAATAAACATGTTTTTAGAATTTACATAACTAATACATGCAATTATACAGGGTGTCCTAGACCACCCGTACACCCCTTTTCTTTCAAAAACTAAGCATTTTAGAGAAAAACGTTTTTGTCAAAAACGTTTTTGTCAAAAACGTTTTTCTCTAAAATGCTTAGTTTTTGAAAGAAAAGTGGTGTACAGGTGGTCTAGGACATCCTGTATATACAGCGTGTTTGTTAATAAGTGTGAAAAATTTTAAGAGATGATTTTTTGTCGAAAATTAAGGGGGGTTTTTTATATAAACATATACTCCTACATCCCTTCATGTGAAGTTACATTTTTCCAAAAAGGAAGGTAAAAATTAGGTTTTTATTTTTTCTCAACTTTGAACAAATTAAAGAAATAAAATTAAGTGGATATTTTCTACTAGTAAAAAGGTTATTTATTAATATTTTTTTCAGCCTCTTGTATTGTTATAAGGGATAAAACTAGCAACCTTTATTCAATTTTTTATTAAAGCTTTTTAATGAAAAACTCCCTTAATTTTCGACAAAAAATCTTCTAAAATTTTTCGCACTTATTATGAAACACCCTGTATATATATATATGAGAGTTTCTTGAAATAAACACATATATATAATTTACATTGTTAAATATTATACTTATATAAATATGCAAAAACATTTACTATCTTAAATTTTTTATTATTTCCATTATTTTTATTATTTTTTAATGATACAATTTCGGAAGAAACTTAATTAATTCCATTTATATTTTTGTATAATAAATTGCAAGTAAAATTTTGGCAGAAGATATTTGAAAATAATTATAAATAAAATTTTGGCAGAAGGATACTTTGTGAAAGTCTCTCGCGGTAATTCTCATTAAAACAAACATAATTCTCATTATGTTATTAAAATTTTTTATGAGACGACGAGATGATTTTACATAACAAGCTTTTAATCTTTGCGTATGTAATCAATCAGCATAATATATGTGCATTGATATTACAGCTGTGTTACACATAACTAACAGTGCGTGATACAGACATTGAACGATCAAACATCGAGATTATTCTCTAAGGCAAGTTGGTTTATTCATCACACAATTCAGCGGTGAAAGAGTTAATTGTCGCGAGCACCGTGAAATTGTGATATACATAAAAAAAGTCGCTTCCGACGTATTAGAGAGAAGAAAGAATAGAAAGAAGAGAGAAAAAAGTCGGGATTATAACCGCATAATCATGAATTCACGTGTCACAACGGTGAATTGAAGAAAATAAAATCAAGAGTTGACAATCTAACGAAGTCAGAAATGACACGTGCGTCTATTTATGCGAACCCGAGTATCCTTCTGTAAATGACACGTGACTGTAAAAGGCGGGTTTCCTTTAACCTTAGCCTCAAGAGTGACGGAATTTTAAGAATAAGTTCCATTTAAATATCATTTACATAATACAACAGCTTATTTGCTTATTCTTTATTGCAATTATTTATTCATTCCTTTGGCATTAAGGATGTTTTGTATGTACAATCCCAGCAAAAAGTAACTGAAAATCAATATTGACAAATCCATTTTTGGTGTATTTTGAGTATGAGAAATATATTGTGTGAAATATTACAATTTGATCTTAACAGTGCAGAAATCTATTTTTTAATATTTATTACGTTTTTATTGAAATATTCCGAATTTTGTTAATCGAAATGATTAACTTTTGGCAAAAAATTCCGCCTTGTGACAGATACATGGCTAACTTCATTGAATTATATTTAATATCTTTTTAACCAGTTAGTACTTGAATAATATTATTTGACCAAATATTTCCTCTATCTAAACTATTGCAAATTTTCAACAAATTCTGAATATTATTTCTATGTGTTTTTGTCATTTGAATCGACGTACGTTTCCCATAAAAACACATGTTAATTCGGTGCAAATTAAAATTCTTATAACTTGTAAACGCTTTAGTGAATCGATTTAAAAATTGTACTGAAGATTCTAAACATATGTAAGGACATTCTGTACAATTTTCATTAAATTCTCAATATTTTAAAAATCGGTACAAAACATTCTTTGTTATATTATTATTAGTCATTGTATTAAAAATTGCATAATATAATTAATAACTGAGTAATAATAACTGATTACGACAATAATAATTAATAATAGCATTCTTAGATTGAAATCATGAAGTAAAATTTGTGATTTACAAAGAAACCAATATTTTCGATTTCCTTGAAATTAAAAAGAGAAATATGTCTCGAAATACGAGAAATCGCGACTATAATTCTTCGCATTTTTGTTTGGTTGTCAAAGTGGAGCACAATGCAGGAAAGTCTTCCTCTAGAATCAAAAAAGCGCTGAAAAGAATCGTGATTCACACAGCGATGACGACGAAACATATGCGACAAAAGGAAAAGAAGTCAATACAAAAACGCGCCACAGGATTTCGCCTAAAATAATACGTCACATTTTTGTAACAAGCGTGTGACGTATTAGAAGGCCCGGTTTTCTTAGAACGCTAGTAGGAAACTGGTTTGGCGGCACGTGTCGCAAAAATAAAAAAAAATTCTTAGAGGACAGGAGGAAAGAGAACAGGGCATCCAAAAATAAACGCGACAACAGACAGAACGCAGATGTTTGAAGAGCCTATGATGGGATGATGACATATAATACGTATATGGAATACGGTCGGCACTAAAAGATGTCGGCGCCAATTATAGACGTCTAGATGAGAATAAAAGAATTCTACGCTTGAGAAAAAAACGACGCGTGCGTAAACTGCGTCAACGCGCCTCTTCTAAAGATGAACGGCCCGACTGGTTTTTTTGTCCTGAATTCTGGATGTTTAAGCAGTAATACAGCGATCTATCCGGATAACATCGCAGAAAATCTCAAGGTTGGCGAAATTAAACACATCGCATCTCCGCTTAAAATAATCTTTATTACCCCTCTTTATTACATGCCTCTATATAAAAAGCTATAAAATATGTCTCTTTTTTTTTTAGAGGGTCAGTTTTTTTCGCGAATTGCTTGATTTCGTCAATTGCTTGATTTTCGCGAATTGCTTGATTTCGTCAAGAGGAGAGTGTATTTGTATATGAAAATATCTAATCCTCTAACTCTTGGGACTTCATGGTCTTCCCTTTGAAACCCGGTGCTTCTTTTCGATCGACTTTTGCGCTCTTTTCATCCTGCTTCCTCCCTCTCCTGACGATGATGGCCGTGCGACCGCTTGCCAGGCGATCTTCAATGAAGATTGCCGACTATCCGGTCCTCTCGTGCGTGTGTTTCTTCTTCTTCTGCTCGTGTATTGACCGTTCGCGATACATGCACATGAGAACCTACGTAAGATTGCATCGGCAACCATATGCAGGGTTAGGAAAAAGTCTGGATACCCCTTAATATTTCGAAAAATACGCATTTTAAAAAAAAATGTTTCATACAAAAGTTATAGGGTTTTATGTGGCGCATTACACAGCAACATTATTATGACCTCGAATAGCGTTGTCAAGATTATGTGAAGGTCAGCTTCAATTTTTTAAATAGAAACCCCTATTTTTCATTGCATATTCTTGTAGCTTACCTCGAGAGCTTTCCAAAACACTATAACAAATTATTTTTTCATGAAGTACTTTTCGAATTATGAGGCTTGAAATCATTTCTTAATTTTACATAAACCATAAAATATCTTGTAAAATATTCATTTTTCAATTATCTTACCTTAATACTTTTATATACAAAATAATGAGAGAAATCAATTGGTGTAAAGAAAAAATAGTTGTTTTTTTAAAAAAAATATATCATTTGCAATTAACAATTTCATATTTTTTCTTAAAAACAACTGTATGTTTTCTTTACACCAATTGATTCTTCTCATTATTTTGTACATAAAAATATTAAGGTAAAATAATGGAAAAATGAATATTTTACAAGATATTTTATGGTTTATGTAAAATTAAGAAATTATTTCAAGCCTCATAACTCGAAAAGTACTACATGGAAAAATAATTTATTACAGTGTTTTGGAAAGTTCTCGAGGTAAGCTACAAGAATATGCAATGAAAAATAGGGAGTTCCATTTAAAAAATTGAAGCTGACCCTCACATAATCTTGACAACGCTATTCGAGGTCATAATAATGTTACTGTGTAATGCGCCACATAAAATCCTATAACTTTTGTATGAAACATTTTTTGTAAAAATGCGTATTTTTCGAAATATTAAGGGATATCCAGACTTTTTCCTAACCCTATATACAGGGTGACCCATTTTAACTTAGGCAGAAATATAACTCGAAAAATAAGCACACTACGAAAAAATGGTTAGAATCAAAATTTCGTCATTTCGAGGGGGACGTACAATGACGTTAAAATCAGCCTCCCCACCCCTTCCCCTGGGCGGTGAGGGGGGGCAAGTTTGAAATCTTAAATGGAACCCCCTATTTTTCATTGCATATTCTTGTAGCTTATCTCGAGAGCTTTCCAAAACACTATAATTAAGTACCTTTTTATTAAGTACTTTTTGAGTTATAAGGCTTAAAATAATTTCTTAATTTTACATAAACCATAAAATATCTAGTAAACCATTCATTTTTCGATTATCTTACCTTCATACTTTTATGTACAAAATAATGAGAGGAATCAATTGGTGTAAAGAAAACATACAGTTGTTTTTAAGAAAAAATATGGAATTGTTAATTGCAAATTACATATTTTTTCTTAGAAACAACTATGTGTTTTCTTTACACCAATTGATTCCTCTCATTATTTTGTACATAAAAGTATGAAGGTAAGATAATCGAAAAATGAATGGTTTACTAGATATTTTATGGTTTATGTAAAATTAAGAAATTATTTTAAGCCTTATAACTCAAAAAGTACTTAATAAAAAGGTACTTAATTATAGTGTTTTGGAAAGCTCTCGAGATAAGCTACAAGAATATGCAATGAAAAATAGGGGGTTCC